ATTCATGCAACACAGTAGAGTTCAAATGTCGGGGTTATCCAAGCCAGCGAGTTGGCAGAAGATGAAACACAGTATTGTACTTTGACATTTGCCGGTTTCCCATGGACACTTAGATGGAGTGAATGGTATGCCGACATGAGCCTATATCACAGGTAAACTCAATTAGTATTATAAAGAATTAATGGTCTGATCAGGGAGAGCAAATACCGTCGACGATCCAGTATTGACATGAAATCCGGAGAATAGGTTGACATGGTGAACTGCACATTTGCTTTCGATTTGTATAAAAAGTGCCGGACCACAGTGCCTGGGACTATATCAGTAGGAGCCGGCCGTCCTTGTTCTAGAGCTACTCTAAGGACTTCCATGCTTCCGTTCTTTTCCATTTGCTAGGGCCAATGTCAGCTTGTAGTTAATAATAGAGAGCGCAATATTTCGTGAAGCCTCACCTCTACAAGAGAATCTCGCATTTCATGCAAGGTATAAAAGCTCTCCTTGTTAGGGCTTATCAAGATGATGGCCACAACGTCATCCTTTTTCATCTCGCCTGTGCTTTTACCCACTGCTCGATCTCTATGAAGGTCAAGAAAGCTCACGTACATATACAAGTAGCCTCTATTATTAAACCCGGGCAGACATATGGGGATCCAGCTTTCTCCTCCGCCGGCTTTGACCCCATCTGCTTCAAAGATCATGTTGAAGATCAGTTGAAGGTCTCCAGGGTGAAGAGAGTGTTTCTTTGGTCTAACGACACTGACAAGTCTCCCACCAGCAACCAACAAGCCGTAAAGTAATGGCTCAACTCTAGCCTTAAGAAACGTGTTGCTGATAATGTGGCGGTGGGATTTCCGGATTTTCAAGGATTCTAAAGCGCCTAGTAGAGTTGAAGGGGAACCTTTTGTAAAGCTATCGGCTAGGGAAGACAAAAGTGATTCAGTGCCCTGGAGTGGTCGCCGCAAGTCCGAGCTTGGTCTTACAGCAAATATATGGTCAAGGGCAGGAAGAGTCAGTGTTGACAGTATCTGCATGTATAAAGCTTCTAACTGGGCTCTTAGATGGGCCTGGCTTTCTAGTAGAGAGCTGATGGCGACGAGATATAATGGACCCTGAGAAAGAATGACAATTTTTGTTTTTCCAGCAGAAAAGCTTTTGAGGGGGCTTCCAGATTGCTGGTAAAATGATATGATGGTTTGAATAACACCAATAAATGGGGATATCAGTCCGCCGTCGCCGTGGCGGGTATATATTGGTTTCCCGGCCGAGGACAATATAAAAAAGTGCTTTTTCTTCTTCCTCCATTTTTCAAGTTTCTCCTCTGCCTGATGTTAGCTTCGAAAAGGTTAGATAAACGGTAAATTATAGGTATACCTTCATTCTCACCCTCGCTTGGGTTGTCAACTGAGTTAAGCTCATCCTCAAATTCAAGAGCAATGTCATCTTCTTCGGATTGTAAATTGAATATGGAATGGTTCTCTCCTATCCTCGTTGGGGCGTTTCTAAATGGGATCTCAGCTTCAAAGCCACCGAAATCACCAAAAAGACTACCCGCATCAACGGGAGTGTCACTTTCTGGCATAAAACTTCGAATGCTGCCATTGTCTCCTATGTCGATCCCGACTCGACTTCCTCGCCTAGAAGTGCCAGAGGTCGTAGGTCTCACTATCTTTTCAAGGCCGTTTCCTCCTCCTGCAAGAGATACATAATTCTCCCGGTGAACATCATCCAAGGCTTGAACATTGACATTTGCGAGTGAGAGAGCTGTCGTTGGCCCTGACTGGAGCTTGTGAGCTGTCGAGTAGGGGTTTAAACCAGCGTCCAGTTGGGGTGCCTTCTGCGGGCGCGGCGGAAGAGGTGGGCGTTCATCATCAGATTCTCGGTCTTTATCGCTTCCACTGCCCCTGTCTGCTGCTTTTCTTGGGCTCACCGGTTGGTTTTCGCAGTCCTTATTCTCTGAAAATGTTTGTGGTCCTGGTGAAGCCATGGTATGTGTATGTTCATCGCGGATGTTGTCCCAGACCGCCGAATGCCTTCATATGATCAAATTTAGATATCATCGGGTAACCCTGGCGGTAAACATGTACGCTCCGTCTCCCTACCACCCTCTCGTCGCTGGTGTTGCCGTCTTGTCAGGGATATTGCTTGTCTGTGGATGGTGGTGGTGGTGAAGTGAGGTCATAGTTGGGTTGGTGAAGATGTTTTGGTTGTGGCCAGATCAGGCAAACATCAACCTCACAACGCGAAAAGGCCACTTTTTGTACCGTTTGAAGATTCAGGAAGAACAGAAACGGAGATTGATAATGGCCGGCTTGCAACGCAAGGGTCTTCTATCAGTTAAATACAATGAGCCTTGAACCGAGTGGCCTCCCAAGATCCTCTTCGCCAGCCAGCTCCGAAGCATCTCTACCGAAACCTCCAACCCGCGCATATGAAGGTAAGCAAGCAAGCCGTGGGGATACAATCGCGGAAGACACAGCTCGGCTGACCAGCATTATTAGATGCAGATGGCTTGAAGAAGGACAAAAGCTACCGTCGCTACGCTGCGAATGTCGACCGCGCCCTGTCTCTGTTCGATACTGCGCTCCAAGAATGGGCAGACTACATCTCGTTCCTCAGCCGCCTTTTAAAGGTACACCAGCCATTGTACTTCCTATATTCATAGCATACCACTGACACCGCGCTGTCTAGGCACTCCAAACACATCCACCGTCACTCTATCTTGTACCGAATAAGCTGCTTGTTGCAAAGAGGCTTGCACAATGCCTGAATCCGTCACTCCCATCCGGTGTCCACCAGAAGGCTTTGGAGGTATATGGATTTATTTTCGGGCTTCTTAAAGTGAGATCAAGCCCGGCCGACCCAATAGAGCCCTCAGATAACTCATTCACTATTTTAGTCCGATGGCCTGGCTCGGGACCTGGCCATATATCTTCCCGGAATTGCTCCCACCTTGTCGTTTGCCTCTCTTTCGGTCCGGCCGTTATTTCTATCACTTATTGAAAATCATATTCTACAGCTTAACCCCACAGCTCTACGTTCAGCCATTAAATCGATCATCCTAGCCCTTCTTCCCGGACTTGAGGATGAGACGAGTGAGGACTTTGAAGAAACACTTAAGTTGGTTGATAAGCTTCGCGAGGTATCAAGTACCACCACTGGTGATGACTCTGGCGCGGCGGCTGGCAGCCAGTACTTCTGGCAGTGCTTGTTCCTTGCATCTATTACGAACCCATCTCGACGGGTAGGAGCTCTCGCATATCTAAACCGCTACTTACCAAAGCTTGCGGGTAGGGTACAATCAGATGATATCCCTAAAAGAGGTGACGGTTCTGAGGATGGTGGGAATAAGGCCCATGATTTGCCTAGTGCTATAGAGAGTGTTACGTCCCCAGAGCCAGGGCTTCTCATTCGATGTTTTGCAACTGGGTTGGCGGATGAGCAAGTTCTTATACAGCGGAACTTTTTGGACCTCCTTGTCACCCACCTCCCGCTACATTCTTCCGTTCTACAACAGCGGATTACTTCTGGGGATCTGGAGCTTCTTGTTGGTGCTGCCGCCGGAGTTGTCATCCGGAGAGATATGAGTCTCAATCGTCGCCTGTGGGCATGGCTCTTGGGACCTGATTTTGAAAAGTCTTCACATACAAGTGATGCAGGAGCCGACGCCTCAGTATCTGCCAGCCCTGCTGCCATGGCTACTTTTGATAACGATGGCTCAAAGTCACATTACTTCGAGCAATTCGGTCTAAAGCCGCTTGTCAGTAGTGTCAAATCTATGCTTGCAAAAAATTCTTCCAATCCAAACGAACGAGCTAAGCCGTACCGCATATCTCTATCACTTATGGATCGATGGGAGGTTGGTGGATTGGTAGTTCCGGAAGTTTTCCTCCCTGTCATCCGCAGCACCCAGAGATACAAGCATATCGCGAAGTCAAAGACTAGTTTTGATGAAGTGTTCCGAAGTGCCAGTGCTTTCTTTGATGGCGTTGAAAGTAACTTGATATTTTCGGAGCTCATTGGCCTTGTTCTCTCGCCTCGTTCAACCACATCACGGCCGAATCGTATGATTGATGATTTGCGTCTAGCCACTTTTATGCTGTCTCACTTCAATATGAAAGAAGAGGAGATGCTAACTACACATATACCCTTGCTGATCTTATCATTACTTCTTAAAACGAAATCACTATCCACATCCAGTGCTTGGAACGAACCGGGCTACTCTAGTGTAGCAAACGCTGCTCTTGATGAAATAGGGTCAACCGCCAGTTTACTCGTCCGCCTTGTCCCAGAAAGAGCATTCACCTCACAACCAGATAAAACTCAGGATATAGACGTGGATAATTCCACGTCTCCCGTGAGCCACGAGCAAGTAACGAAAGCTGTCTTGAATTTTTATTCTCGAAGCAAGGATTCGCTGCGACTCCCGGAACCCCCTTTTTCACCCACTGAAGTGGCAGCTATCATTCTCCGTGAAGCTCAATCTCTGGTTCTGTTTTCTTTAGAGTCGGATACTCAAGCTGTATTTCTCAGGGAAAGGATAAATCTGTTTGTTGCTCTACTCAGTAAAATGCAAAGGACAGAGCTTCCGGAGCCAGGAACACTCTATGATGCCATCGAGGAAAAGATTACCACTGCAAATTATGACCATAGCGTTCTCCCTATGCCTGTCATTAATTCAGTTGTATTTGCCATTACGTCCTTATATTCCATCAAAAAGGCTAGTCATTATGTTAGCTACGAGCAAATTGCCGATCTGATTCCAGTCCTGGTCCAGCACCTGTGGGATTTCTTAGAGCCGGCAAACTTACGTTTCCACGTTGAAGCTGCAGCATGCTTATGGCTTTTACACTCTGTTAGTTGGAGAGACCATCTCGTCGAAGCCGCTATAACGTCGGTCATGATATCTTCCTCGACTTCGTCACATCAAGCTCCTCTTGATCAAGCCGAGAAGTTCTTTGTGTTGTGGAATCATAGTCATCATTCCAACACCGATTCTTTCGCATTGCGTATACCCAGTGATGATGGCCCAAATATAAAAATGACATACCGCGCAAACCTACTCAGTCAACCACTATTTAACGTTCTTAGCCTTCTCTCGTCCGGCCTGGAAGGCACATCTTTCGCAGTCAGAGACTGGCTTCGTGATCTACCATCCACATATGAGTGAGTTAAATCTGTAAGGCATTTCAGTTAGCAAATACTAATAAGTAATGGTAGGCTATTTCGTGTCATTTTGCTAAAGTTCCGCGACTTTCACCTTCTGCAAGAAAAATCGACGGAAGAAACAAGTGAATTTAGGGAAACCATGATACTCAACCATGTCAACCAGTGCGTTTATATGCTTCAGCTAGTGCGAAACGTATTATCTGTGCTTACTCCAGCTGGATGGTCGTTGATATTATCAAATACGGCTAATCAGCCGCCACGAACTAAATCCGTACCATTTGACGTAGAAGGTGAGCACATACCCTATTCACAGATTTAACATTGCTAAAAGTCAAATTAGAAAACAAAGGAGAAGTCACTATTCAGACGGAGATTTCACAGATATGCTTCCATGCACTCCATGGCGTTCATCATGTGCCAGAGAGCCTCCACCCCCAACAAGGCCAGATAAGAAAAGAAGCATTGTCACTACTGCGCCTGTTGCTCTCAAGTCCAGGAGCAGAAAAGCTGCTTTCTTTAGATATAGACGCCTACCTTCTAGATCATCTATCACTAGCCTTAGATGAGGGGAAAGTAGAGCATCAGTCTTCCATAATTGATGCTCTAATCCCGGTTCTTAAAATGCGGTACGCGCAGCATCTAGGGCTTTCAGGCGCTACATCTAATAGGCATCAGAGAAAAGGATCTTTTGATATATCCCGAATGTCGTTTAGTGCTGAGAGACCTGACAAAGGCCAGGAGAACCAGATTTTACCCCAACCTCCTTCTAAGCTCTTAGATTGCCTTCTTAAAGGCATCAGCTCGAAGCTGTCTCGACCCATTATCGACAAATGGGTGAATTTCCTTGCAGAGTGCCTGCCTCTATACTACAAGTCCATTTTTAAGGTCCTCTTGACACTCGCGGAGCGCTTTTGCAAGGAAATAAGCACTTCGTTCAACGATCTTCAAGCCATGTTCCAAAAAGTATCTGTGGCATTGCCTAACTGTTCGCCTGAGCACACCACTATAGCATTATTGAGCGGCTTAGAGACTTGCATTGCAACTGCCCATGACCGTCTCCAAGCCGAAGAGGTGAACACTGCTGCAGTAAAATCACCAGATCAACCTCAAGGATTCTTTGGCAGCATGTTTGCATCCGAGGGGACCCAAACCCAACCCACGAGTGGTAATAACACTAGACTTACAGTCCTTCTGTGTTTTCAGGATGCTGTGCAGTTATGCTATTCAATCTGGGCATGGGGGGCTAGTGGGCGAGGAAAATCTTCTCGGGATCACGATTCTGTCGCCTCCTTTCAGTATACCTCATTAAGAATGAGGAATAGGGCTAGAAGAATACTGGAACATTTGTTCGCAGCCGAGGCCCTCGAGTGCCTTGAAACATTAATCAAACTATGGCGTACGTCAATAGCTTTGGATGAACCAGCCAAAAGCAGGGCAATATTTAGTCTATTGCATACTCTGGACGGATCAAAACCCAAGGTCACGATTCCCGCCATTTTCAATGCTATATATAGCCGAACCAGCCCAGCTGCTCTGGAACCAAGCCGTAAATCGTCAATGTCTTCGGAACTAACAGAAACCGACCTTGCAGCTTTCCTGGTCATGTATGCAAAGTCACTGGACGATGACTTTTTAGATGACATCTGGGGTGACTGTATTACCTTTTTGAAAGACGTTCTCACAAATCCATTTCCACATCGCCAGATTCTGCCCCGTTTACTCGAGTTCGCTGTAGTGCTTGGGGGCAAGATGGAAAACACCACATTTGGGGATGATCGAAGAACTAGAAGGGAGCTAGGGGTAAGTCACTCACTTGAGCTTATTTGGTTGTTGTAAATGCAAGACTAATTAATCGCCTTTTCAGGACTTGATATTGCGACTTCTACCGGCCATCTTCACCAGCAAACCATTATCTGGGACCCATGAATCATCAGCTCCTCGAAACCAGGAGTCGGACCAATCAAGCTCGCCCTCCCTTCTACAACGTATTGGACCAGACGATGTCATTGGAATCCTGTCTGTTAGCCTTCCAGCGCTGACAGCTACTCTAGACGAGTCAGATAGGGTATCAAACGCATTGTCCAGCATATCGACGAACATCATATCTCCTACATTCCATTCACGCCTGTTCCCATCTAATGTGGATAAAAACACTCTAGACCTCCTACAGCAAATCTCCAAGGTCCAAGGAGCAGCCAAGATCTGGAAGAAGGACGTGAGCGATGCATTCAACGACAGCAAGTTTTTTGGTTTCAAACTTGGCTTGGTGAAAAGCCATTGGATACGGCTATTCCGTCAATGGGCCCTGACGGATACAGAACGCCTTACTGAAGTGCTCTCTCGCCTCACATCCCCAACGTCTGCAGGCATAATGTTTGGAGTTGGTGCAAGCGCTGCTCGCTTGGAAGCGGATCGTAAAGCACAGCTGAACCTCCGTCGAATTGCATTATTGATAATTGCATCTGACGAGGATCATTTCAGCGCTGAGTTATCAGAACTCCAGCAAAAGTTGGAGGACCTCCTTGCAGCTACTCATGTATCTTCACCATCATCTGTGACAAGGGCAGAAATATACATGGTCCTTAGAGCCTTAGTTCTCAAGACAGGGTCCACAAGCATTGCTCCGTATTGGCCTATGATCAGTACGGAGCTTCAAGATGCGATTTCCGCCATCTCTCGGGAACAGGAGAACGAGACATATAACCCTTATTCACTTCTTCAAGCCTCCAAGCTTCTAGAAACACTGCTTCTGGTTTCTCCGGATGATTTCCAGTTACAGGAATGGCTCTTCGTCACGGATACCATAGACGTAGTATATCCACCAAATCGTTGGGAATCAGCGGCCCTTGCTGACTCTCTCTCCCGTTCGCTTGGGAAGAGCAAAAGCCCCCATAGCCAGCATTCAACTTCAGTTCAAGACACCGCTGGATATGATGGCGGCGGTGATGAGGAAAGCGCTGGTACAGAATCTAGCAAGAAAGATGGATTCAAGAAAGCTTGGCTGAACTCGGATATCAGCAGGGAAACAGCCAAGGATGAGATTATAGAGAAGTTGTTACGGCCCTTCTTTGACCGGTTGAGTATACATTCTTTTGAGACCATGTATAGTATGGGTGTTCCAGACATTACGGCCTGCACAGATGATCTTCTCGCTGATTTGTTCAACGAGTTCACCATAGTTAGTTAATCTAGTGACTAATCTACACAGTTAGATTGAGAAGCAAACTCGTGGAGAAAATCCCTAGGTCTAGTCTATAGTTCGCCTATTCACCGTATATCTCCTTAAGGGGATGCACATATATGTACCGCCAAACTAAAGTCAAGCCCCAGAATCATAAAATGGCATGAAAAATTGGCCTGTTTTCTAGAATATATGCATAGGGCGTAAGCTACGCCTTTCAATACTCCATGTCAACCGCATTTTTCCTCTTGGCTCTCCGCGGCGTTATGTCAAAGTATTAAATTTTGTTGGCGCATGTCATGACAAAACCATGCTGTTGCACTGCATCCGCGTACCGACATGCATAACTGGACTCGCGTCCGTAAGCACAAGAGATGGTTTGCAACTTGCTGCATAAGTTGGAAGGACCCTTGGCGGGTGAAGATGGTGGAACCGTTGGATTTCACTATCCAGAGTTGAAAACCATGCATCCTCAACCATACGTAAGCATGCGCGTAGGAGCACAATATCTTGGAGTGTTAAGGTATTCATGGTGTTTAATCATGCATAGAATCTGTCACATCTCGTTTCCAGGTGAATTCTTGAGCATTCCAACCCACAAATCCTAGCCTGACACTTGACGCATTTCACTTTGCCCCAGTAACCGCATATGCTACAGAAGTGTCTCGGAGGGCGAGAATCAGCAGGCAAAGTAGCGCGAGAGGCATGATATGACAGAGGAGGCTCCGAGACGAGGGCCATCATAAGGCGTTCGGAGGGCGGTGTTGGGATGTAAGAACGTAAGAGGGGGTCATTGTCAGATTCAGACACAATGAGAGCAGAAGGCGGATCTTCTAACTGAAGGAGAGGTCTGTTGGCGTTGGTATCAGCTTGAGGAGCTGGAGCCTCGGGTTGTCTGGGAACATTTGTACGTTGGCTCAAAGTAGTCGCGGTTGTTGTAGAGGAGGCAGAGAGTGCTAGTGTAGCAGGCTCTTCAGCTGCAAGGTAGTTCTTGAACTGTTTTCCTGAAGTGATAATTTTCCGAGTATTAGAGGACGTCTTGCTTCTCACGCCTGTGTAAGTGAAGCGTTAATCTATCATCCTCTTTAGAACGTGGCATGTGAGGTATGCAAACCTTTAACTGTATGTTCCCTCTGGCGTCTCGGTGGGACTGGAATCGAGACCTCTGAATGATTCTCCTTGTCAAGGGCCTCCAAGTGTTTAGCAATAGCGCCCCTCTGCCTTGCATTGAGGTCAGATCTCGTGTTGCCAGTGTCTCCTCCAATCTCTCTCGCAGTTCGTTTCCTCCCGCCGGCCTCCCTGCGCCCGCTAACAGGGGCCTCAAACCGCGCAGCAGGGACGTATTCCCATCCCGGAGCCTTGGACGCCCGCGTGGACACCACCTCGACCAGCGAAGACATCGTTCCTCTCTTTCTCCGTCGACGAAACAGCTTTCTCTCCGTTTCTCTTCTGGTTCCACCAACTTTCAGCGTTCAACTTTCTGATATCAAGCCCTTTGTTTGTCTTGTTTGCCTCAAATGTTATATTACGTAAGAAGTCATGTAGTTAATTGGATGTAAGATTTATTCACGTGATACAAGGCTGGGCATTTTTTGGTCGCTGAAATTTGCTTGAACAAAAGACAAGAAGACGAGTGGTGACAATCGCAGCATTCGCAGCGCCGAGATCAAGGATAAGAGGAGAGAATGCGACGCTGGCCGGGGCATAGCGTTGGCCGAGGAGAGGGGGGCAAAAAGACGGGCCAATGGCTCGACAATGGCTCGAGAACCATGGTAGAAAAGCGGTGCATTAATGAGGGTTTTTTTATTCAAGTCTTCCTCTGTATCTGGTCTACTTTGCCTTCTAGCTCATTGATATAAGCACCCAGGCGTTGAGTCGCAGCTTGCAGGGCCTACAGGTAGAATACCGAAAGTCTCAATCAGCGCTCATATCATAACAAATATCTATAATCTATCGTAATTCGTCTAAGATCATCAATCAAAAGGGAAAAAGAAGAAAAAGAAATCTATCGCAGGTAGGCAGATTTGCTAGTGAAAAAGCGCAAAAAGCAAAAGCAAAAGACACGCTTCAAGTGCGCGAATCAATGAGTAGCCAGCGGGTTCCCAGGGGAGTGGAGCAGAAAGCCTTCCCCAGAAACCAAGCCGCTTGCCTGCGGCTTTCACGCAAGGATCAACCGAGAACAGAGCCCGGTCACAAGGAAACGCAGACGGGGGAGATAAACGAGCAAGACCAGGAACAGGCAGACAACCGAGATCGCGCGCAGGCCAAAATATTGACTTCCGTATCTTCAAATGCAGTAACGTACGTAGATGTCTCCCTTCAGGGTCTCGTTGGACAGGCGGAATTCCTTCAGGATGTAGTAATAAACGGATGCACCAGCAAGAGTCGAGCCAGCAAGGAATCCAAAGACACTACAACAGACCAAATACGTGTTAGCATATCGCTATACAAAGGAGGTAGTTATGAGATAATGGAAGAGAAAACTCGGTTGCTTACCCTCCTCTAAAGGCGCCCAGGCCTTGGGATGGAAGAGCAGCCTCGGTGGCATTCAGAAGCTGCCTTGAGGTAGAGAACCGAGCAGACTTCTGAACGTTGGAGAGAATCGACATCTTATTCGCGCGGAATGCCATCTGCATCATCTTGGAAGCCATTTTTTGTTATATCGAAGGGACGAGGAAGGGTCCGGTGTCGTTGCTCGGGCAGGCTGTAACTATGCTCCGTACGCAGGAAAACAGCAAAGAAAGGTCAAAGTAATGACTGCGACTGTACTCCTGAAAACCTCGAAAAGAAAAACTGCGCGCTGAACGAATGTGAAGCTGAATTGACCTCTTGATTGTTTCTTGCTTCCAATTTTTCAAGATAGAAAAGAAAAAAGAAAAAAAGAGGGAGGCAATGATTACATAAGCACAGCCACTTCTCTTTTTGTCCTTCAAATTGATCTCACTTTGATCATTGATTTACTTCACTTTGCCATCGTCCAACTCCTTCGTTCAGCCATCAACATCGAGTGGAAAAGTCCTCGTGCTCATACAGTTATGGACGTGGAGCATATCGTCGCGCTCCTGACTGAGGTAGAGTCACAAAATGAACAACCTCGGAAAGGAGATGTTTCTCTACAGGATCCCCTGCACGACCGCCTACGTGTTGTCCTAGACGGGATTGCAAAAGTACTCATCTCAAAAGCTCAAGGAGAAGTGATCGCGGTTGGGATGCAGCAGCAAAACGACCCGACGAAGAAAATCATCTTTACTTTCGCGTCTAATGGAGCTATTGCCGACAGAACACTTGAACATGCTCGCAATCTTGTTCGCGACCTGCAGAAACTCGGCGGAGACTTTGCCAATTTTCGCAGAGACAATATGAATAAGCTGGAGATGCAGACCGAATCCCAACATTCTGAACTCAGTAGGACTCCATCCCCTTGGATGGACGAGAATAACTTCCCGGTCTATCTTCAGGATGAAGCACGTTTATTTCGTGCTCATATTTATACCTTTTCTCTTCCCAAAATACACCAAAGACTCCATAAGCCCTACAGACACACCTCCCGAGGATTGGCGTTCATGGATATCGCACGCGAACTGCCCGATGACGGAGATTCTAATAGTGTCAAGACTTTGAAGAAAGTCTCCGATATTATAGGTTGGATGTTACGCCATTTGCCGAAAAATGCCGATTCATTTCCCGACTCCGATGTTGACCGGTTAGTGGATGGGTTAGGTTGCATCACTGATATGGTGCAACAGCTATTCAAGATTGAGACATGGCAGATAGACCTTTTTCGGGTATCGCCCGCAGTAACCAGTAAGTCTTATATCGTTCTACACTGTCACGTTCTCCTAATAACTTTTCTAAGACTTTCCGCTTGAGAGATTCTTAAAAAAAATGTCTTCAATTACAAATGCTACAGATACCCTTTTAAAGTATGCCTATTCGCCACGTTCCTACCAAAAATACCTGGCGAAGGCAGAAGTATGTGTTCAGTGCCTTGAAAACAGTCCGAGAGAAATTCCTCTTCCGGAGTCTAAACAGTGGCGTCACATCTCTCGAAAAATTCTTGCGAACCAGGAGGCCGACTCACTGCTCGATGAGATTTCAGAGGGAGATTCAATTAGCCCAGGATTTCATCTACGGAAGCGGTTTGATGGCAAACAGGCCATCAAAGGCTCTGTCCACTGCGAATGCCTACTTGTGCTCCGTCTCGCCGGGGATAGTCGCACAGGAATATCAGCGTTGCCATATATCGGGGTGTCTAAACTATCTTGCCTCGCATGTTGGGAGTTTTTCGGGAGCCTGCGTGACGCAGGTCATAAGTTCTATACGAAAGGTTCCCATGCTAAAGCCTATTTTCCGTGGAAGTTCCCTGACGTTGAGATGGATAACGCACAGTTCCTCCAGGCTGAGAAGGCCCAGATACTGCGGTCCTTGCAATCGAGACTGGCCACCACATACACCCAGCGCTTCCAAGTGCAAGAGAGATCGCGCAGGTTATCCGATAGTTCTGTGGATTCGGCCACGGGCATGACTCGTAACCGCAGAACCAATCATGATGCCTTCTTTGATTAAGTATGTTTTCCCGTTTCTTGCTTGCGATCTAAAAGACAAATAGCAAAAAAAGCGACTAACTATGTAATCACAGCCACTCCTTTTTGCGTTTCATACTGATCAATGAAAGAACAATCGAAGGCACGAAATTGAATGACGCTGAAGGTCTTTGTTTCGTTACTCATGTTATTGTGATTGTATTCTGAATATATTTATCTGAGGAAAATTTTTATTCGCAGCATTCAAGGTTGGAGTTCCTGGAAGAAAAAGTTTTGGTACTGCTCAAAAGCATTAAACGCTCCCCATATAAGGAAGACGTTGATGCATATGCATGTGAAGGCCTTGTTTGTCCATAAGAAATTTGGGATCAAGGCCGGACGTCCAAGACGTTCCTGGCGGCCTACCCATATCACGAATGCAATGAAAATCGTCAATCGCTAAGTCCGGGCTTGTTTGTAGCTTCAAAGTTGTCGTAGACTGCGGAAGAGTCATCTCTACAAATCGACTTGATCTACAACCAATCGCCTGCTGCCTGCTAAATGTTGGATGACAAGCCTACGGGAGTATTCGGGAACTTTTCCATCGCTAGAATAGAGACAGGGCTGGGATAACTACTCTGTGTACGGCGTACAGCGGGGAAGCAGTTCTGTCCATATTATCAATTGATATGTGCTATATGTGCCATTTTTTCATGGCCATCCCTTTAGATTCGTCCAGCAAAGCTACTAAAAATCAATGCCTCGTTTCAAGGGAGCCATGTTAGAGACATGGGCCTGGGCTACTTCTAATTCGTCTTCTATTCATGGGCCGTCGACCCTGACTGGGTTTGGTTGACTGACCAGATGTTTAGATGTGAACACAGCTTCAACCAAACCAACCAACCGCAGGAATAACCAACAACCGGTCAAAAGGCGTTGGCGGCTTAGCATCCTGGCTTCGAGTTGCGTGCGCAGGGTTTCAGAGGACTGTTGATAATTAACATTCACTAAGGAGTACTTGTTACGCAACGGCTCAACGCAATATAAATACTCCGTGCAACGAACCAGCAGCCTCATGCACGCCAGGGCGTCTCTTTGCAACCCCCAACCCATGTACCATCAACAACGCGAGACACAGCGTACAACATCCAGACAAGCGTGAAGCCAGAGGCGAAGACGGTCCCACAAACTCAACATGAAGACGGCAGCGAAATGAAAATGTCCCCTGCTAGGGTCTTCTTTGTGCCAAGGGGATCGTTTCCACTGTGGATCGGGATGGCTTTTGGCTTTTAGGCTGCTCCCCCAGGCCATCGAAATTTTCACAGCGTCCGCTCAGGCTTCAGACAAGCTCAGGGCAATCAAATAACTAGCCCGGCAATATGGGGTTGGTATAGACGCCCTTCACAGTGGGCGGTGCGCCCTCGTTGACTGCACCGGCAGGAATCTCACCTGATGGGGGACCGTGACTATATCACGCCTGATAATGGCCTCCTGCAACGCCAGCAGCCATAGTGGATATGCTCAACCTGTCACTCACTCTCTCAACTGTTTGCCTTCTGCCTTGGCGGCTTACTCCTGCTTGGCTGTGTCTCTCTCGCTCGCTCAGGAGATCTCTGCCAGAAGTCTGCCTGTGACCCTGTGGTGCCTGTCTTCGTCTTCCCCTTGCCACGCGGCATGCTCCGTACAGTAGGGTGTTTTATTTTTGGGCTGACCCCTGACCTCCTGTGCCTGCGCCTGTCACTCCTGTCCGCCATGGCCGACCTCGTCTTCTTTTTTTCCTTCTTTCTTTCTTTCTTCCCTTTGCCTGGCGGAAAGTAACATTACTGCTTGGCTCGTTAAAGCGCAACTTTGTCTGTCGACTGCGTGCGTCCCCTGCTTTGTGTCGACACGCAAGCCCCAGAGTCTTCCGCCAGACAGGGCTTTACATTCTCTCAATCTTTTCACTCTCTTATTCATTGCGGGAGCATTTCTCGAGTCTGCTAGTTGTTGACTAGCGATTGATATTTAGTTCCTGGCCCCGCCGCGCTCCTTTTCCTTCTTCGAATGCAGTCTCCTTTAAACCAGATCCATTGAGTAGTAGCACTTCTTCTATTCTTTGGACTTTTTTGATTGAACTTCTTTTTCGAATACCACGGCCCGTCCCAACCATTCCACTCGTTTTATAAAAGCTTTCTTTGTCGTTCTTTTCTTCCTTTTGTGGATGTTGACAGTGGCATAAAATCTTTCTTCCCATTCCCTCTTTTACAATTGCAATACGTTCACCATGAATCGCAACCGTATCTTTTCCGCCCGCGAGGTCGAGGACCGCATTGCTCGAGGTCAGACCATCGTGATAGCGGACAATCGTGTCCTTCGACTGGACGGGTGGCTCAAGTACCATCCTGGAGGAATCCTAGCTGTTAGGCATATGATTGGCAGAGATGCCACCGATGAGATTAATATGTAAACAATTCCCTTCTACCTTTCATGATCATGTCCCCAGTTGGTCCCCCTTTGGCTGTCTCCAGATAAGGGTGAGTTCAAGGCGCAAATGCCGTACGCTTCTTAATGCAAAAGTGCCAGGTTTCGTTGATAGAATATATTTGGCTAATTACTCGGGGGGACGACTCTTATTCTATACAGTTATCACTCCGAAAAGACGCTCGCAACCATGGATAAATATAGAATCGGCCGTGTCGAGGGGCCTTGGATAAGCATGACGCCGCCCATCAGGGGAGGCATATTCTCGACCATGGACGACTCCAGCACCAGCTCGTCGGACGACGAGTCCCGTGGATCTGATACAAGTGTCACCTCCATGGAAGACATCATAGAGACTCAGGAAGAAGTCAAGACCGAGATCAGGAAGCGCGCAGCTTCACGCAGGGCTGGGACACAAAATAAACACATGACGCCAGAGGAATATACGGACAAGTTGGTGCAAAAGGAACTGGACGATGACCACCGCAACTATCCCTCCTTAGACCCGGAGACACAGCGCCATATTGCTACCAAGTACAAGCAGTTGCACCAGCGAATTAAGGATGAAGGACTATACGACTGCCCTTATATCGAGTACGGAAAGGAGCTCATAAGATACTCCATCCTGTTTGGCCTTTTTATCATCACCCTCAGGGCTGGATGGTATATCCCATCTGCAGTCTTCCTTGGCCTGTTCTGGCATCAGATCATGTTCACTGCGCATGACGGTGGCCATCTAGCCATCACACATAACTTCGTCATCGACACTCTCATCGCCATGTTCATTGCAGACTTCTGCTGTGGACTATCAATCGGCTGGTGGAAATCCAGCCACAATGTCCATCACCTTGTCCCGAACCATCCAGTAAGCTTCCCTTCTTCTTCTTTTTCTTTCTCTCTGCCATGTATCCTGAGCTAACCCTACGTACTAGGAGCATGACCCGGATATCCAGAATATTCCATTCTTCGCAACGTCTCCATCTTTCTTCAAATCCCTGCGATCCACATACTATGATTTCGTTTACGTCTGGGACGAGGCTGCCAATATCATAGGTCAATACCAGCATATATCCTATTACCCGATCATGGCCATAGCTCGGTTCAATCTTTTGCTACTCTCCTGGATGCATCTGCTCTCTCCTCGGTCCGCTAGTTTCGGCGCCGTTCGTTGGACCAAACCAACCGAGATCCTCTTCATGTGCTGCTACTGGTACCTCTACGGCTACTGTCTTCTGTGGTGCACAATCCCAACCTGGCCTATGCGCATCGCCTTCGTCCTCATCTCTCATATCATTACCATGGGTCTACACGTTCAAATAACACTCTCCCATTTCGCTATGTCTACCTCTGATGTAAGCGTTGCTGAATGTTTTGCCCAGCGACAGCTACGTACCACCATGGACGTGGACTGTCCTGCCTGGCTTGACTGGGTCCACGGCGGTCTCCAGTTCCAGGCCATTCACCACCTCTTCCCTCGCGTCCCTAGGCATAACCTGCGGAAACTCCAGGGCTGGGTCAAGGAGTTTGCCGAAGAAGTTGGCATTGATTATAAGATCTATGGGTTTGAAGATGGTAACCGGAAGGTCTTGGGACGTCTTGGAGAGGTCTCCAAGCAAGTAGAAATGCTTGTTCAATGCCAGAAGTACATGGCTGCTACTGGAGAAAGTGGCCTCCATTGAGAAATGGTCTTCATCTTTGCATTTTTTTTTTTTCTCTTTCTGCACATCAAGTTGTGAAATGTTGCATCTAAAATGTCTGCCTTTCTTTTCATTTCTCATTTCTCACATCTTTCGCTTGTAAATATTTCATTTGCTAGACAACTGGGTATCTTCTATTTATTAGTTCAAGACTGTCGTTGAAGTCGAGTTTGTCCCTTCACTTAAGCTTATTTTGCTAGTGGAACCTTGCGCCGCGTGGGGCCCACAGCCGCACATGGCTCTTCCCGCCAGCTTCCGCCAGCTTCCGGCCAGCTTGACGTGTAAGATTTTGCCAAATCCTTTAAGCTAGGGGGAATCCATGCAGCTATAAGAAAATCTATTTAATCTTTTCAAACTAAATTAACATTATTATTATTAGCACTTCAGTTTGATGCCAGCCCGCAGCTCCGAGCCCCGGATTTCAAACATAACCTGGACTCCAACGAATAGCGTTGCACATGCTGCAGCAAGGAATGCGAGGCCGGAATAAGAGCCAACGATACCGTGTATCAGACCCTGCAGCCCGTCTAGACCAACGGCAAACCCGACAAGATTGGCCGCCATCATCGGGAGGATGTTTCCCACCGCTCCAACACCACAGAGTACCCGGTACGCGTTTGGATGTGATTGCCATTTTTTTGCAGGGAAGAGCATGGTGCAAATGACTTCTGGCAGGACGAAGAGCGTGATAAGCCAGCCCCACATCAGCAGCCGGAGGTTGATGTCATGCCAGATCGCAACAAAGGTAAATACTGCGAGGAAGTTCATCACCCCTCGGGCTTTAGAGAGTAGAGACGGTTTACTACTATCACTAGGACTGCTCGTGGCGGATCTGGCTCGTCCACCTCCACCGAGAGGAATATACATGTACCGAACAACCCACCTGTTGAACGACCGGTGCCAGCCTCGCCAGAACGCGAGGGCAGAGTAATTGTTGGACATGCACCGGACCATGTTTTCGGGAGGATCGATACCGTCGACTAATGCCCACAGGCGGAAGAACCGCCAGGGTATGAGCAGTTTTAGCCAGATGATGTGCAGATTGAAGTAACCTAGCATGCTGAGCTGGAAAGGTGTATACGCCGACCAGTCAGGCGAGGATTTGGAGATCGCAACAACATAGATGTAATGAAGGACCAGCTCCATTGACAGTTGGGTAAGCAGAAAGCGTATCCCGTAAAGAATGGTGCGAGATCGGGTGAGAGAAGCAGGGGAATAGTGCTGCTGATTGATGTAGTCGTTAAAGGTAAGGATTGGTCCGGCAAGGTAGAGAGGCGAATAAAGAACGTAGGCCATGTAATTCTGTAGGTTATATGTGGCTGGAGGTGCAGGCATTGAAACACGGTCACGCTCTGATAATGCAGAAGGATCGGTTTGTTTCTTGGGAGAGTCAGACATCATGCTCTTGTTGCTGTAAAATATGAGAAAGTACATACCTCTACAGGGCTTCCGGATCGGTAATCAAGGCTCCAATAATAATCCATATTAAAGCTTATCAGTCGGAGGACAGTGATCTTGAATAAAACCTCCCATCTTGGTATTATTCCTCCAATACCATCCACCCACTTGGCCCAAGTGATAAAGGGAGAATCGCTATTTGGGGAAAGAACTTGTGCAAGATCAGTAAGAGGATATCCATGGAGTAACTCGTTTGAAAATAGGATGCAGATGTTGAAAATCCACGTTGCAGCAGGTATCTGGGCTCGCGGGAGTCTGATTGCAATCATATAATTGACCCAAAGAATGCCCAGGATTTTAAACGCGGATACACCGTGCAGTGCCAGGATGAGGATTATCCCAAAAACATAGTCAAATGACATCCGCTGTCTTAACCGAGCTTCCGCATTCGCTGCTAAACCCTCAGGTTTATCATCATCCTTTACTTTTCCGCCCGTCGGTGGGGTAGTCGATACTTTGGCTGGGAAGAAGTGTTCGTAGGCTCGACGAAGGCTAGGATGGAGGACCAAAAGTATGGTCATATAAGGAATGTTTTCGCGGAAGGTGGAGTATTGTGAATCTGAATTATCCTGGAACCAGCAACAAGACGTTAGAAACGTAGTTGTGGTATGTAAGGCTCCCAGGGGCGCAACTCACTACTTTACGACCCGGTATCCAACCTGGTTCCAACAACTTAGAATAGCTCGAGTAGGTAGGGTGAGTGGCTATATATCAAAGACACCATCATGAGTTAGCATCTGCGCAACTGGCCAGCCCCTTTTAAACCGAGCGTTTTGGTAAAGCTCACGTTGCGAAATGTCGATGACCGCCTTGAACATCAATGGTACTATGGTGAGGAAAGCTAGATAATAGAAGTAAAATTCGACCGTATTCCATCTCGAAGGAGGCGCTCCGGCTTTCACTGATTCAGATCTTCTCCCATCTCTATCGCTAGAACTTGATCCAGGGGCTGCATCATGTGAAGACGGGGTAATGGCCTTTATAGGCGTTGTCGAGGAGACTGTAAAACGAGTGTCGAGGGTATCCAGGGAGTACAGCCTCCGCAACCAGCGAATGAGCCCCATAACGGCGCTGGGACGAGAGAACGGCGATTGTTCTTCGTCTTTAGCCTTATCGTGGAATCGTGGAATTCATCACGAAGTTCGAAACCAGAAAGAAGTCTCGTGATTGGTCAAAAGCCAAGCGCCGAGTTAGTCCCGATTTGGCCATTCATGTGTCCACTTAAGCGCGGTGCAGACGAGTTTGACGCGTTTTATATTTGATAGTGTTACACTTATTCCAGGTATTCTACCGCATCACTAAACTTCTCCTCATCGCTTTCCTCTATTCCCTTTGGATTCAAACTGACCAACAAATGGTTAAAAGCCGCGATAGTCTCGGCTGGAACCCCCACCCGCCTAGCAAACAACCCCCTTGCAGTCATTCCCTCTCCATCTCTCGCATTAACATCCACTCCCTCTATTTCCGCCGCCATCAATATCTCAAACGTCCGCCGATCTCCTCTCATAGCAGCAACATGCAGCACTGTCTGCTTCACCCTCACATGGTGATATTCCGCTCCCCGTGAAATCAGCAGCTCAAGGCACGCGTGCGCGTTCTTCTTCACTCCCTCAAATATGGGGGTATCACCCTCTCGATTCAGTCGATTTATGTTGGCGCCGCGGTCTAAGAGAAACGCACAGCTCTGAGCGATGTCACACGAGATAGCGCGGTTCAGCGGTGTGCGGTCGAAGCTGTTCCGTGCGTCGTCCAACTCTGCGCCGTGTTCTAGAAGCAGTGAGAGAAGTTCATCTGATGCATTAGACTTCGCAGCACCATGGATAGGCATATAGCCATAATTACTGCCGGCATTAACATCCGCACCGAAAGCAAGGAGTTGAACTGCAGAGGCATAGGCGTTATTAAGACAAGCTTTCCACAGTGCGGTCTTGCCACGTTTATTACGGATGGTGAAGTCTGCACCCGCTGCTAGAAGCGCAGAGACGGCTTCCACGTCATCTTTCAACGCTGCCCAGTGAAGGGGCGTCATGCCCATATCGTCTTGGGCGTTTATGTCACCTGCATGTAAACCCATGCTTAGTGCTGCTTCAATTCTCAGCGGTCGAGCCCCGACGACGACACGGTGGAGGTGCGTAAAATTGTAGTCATCAAAGAAGACTGAGAAGGGCAAAGCCTTCTCCAGCTCGGCTTTGTCCTTGGTTTGGATTGACGCGGAGCATTTAGCCGGCCCTAGCATGCGCACGAAGGCGTCGAACATCGCCGGCATTCCCCAATGGTCCTCGTGGAAGGGATCTGACCCCGCGGCAAGCAGGACTTTGATGGCCTCAACACTACCAAGTTCAAAGGCATAGTGCAGAGATGAGAAGCCCTGGCGGTGCGAGACATCTATTATCGCCCCAGGCCGCCTCTGGAGCATCTTCTTAAGTTCTAGGAGCTTCAGACCCCGGACACAAGGGAAGATACTCCGGTAGTCTTGCTCGTTTATAATGTTTACTGTCGGGCCCAGGCTAATCCCTATGCTTGGCGTGCCGTCATAGAACCGCGCTGAGGCAACAATAGAGATGCCCAGGGGCTTTAGTGGTGTTGAGTAGGTAACTTCCATTAGCTTCATGCGTATCTTATGGCAGGAGAGTATATTGCAGCGGGGACCCATGAGCCTCCAGCCGAAGAAGATAATGGATATTGATCCAAAGAGGCTGTGGAAGGGCGCAATGCGGAATTGACCGTATTTCTTGCCGATATGGCACCGGCACCGACACGAGGGGCTGCAGGAGTTGTCGACTTGTCGGGCGGTAGCGGAAATTGTTTGAGGCCCATGGGAGAGACTTGTGTGGGCGGCACAGTGGGAAGATCCCCAATAGGTTCTTCGCGAGCCATAGGGCGGTTGGTCTGTCCGATCTTCTAGTTTGACCATTGAGGTCTGACAGCGACTGAGTGACAGAGGTCTTTTTTCTCTATTTAAATATTTTTATAAAAAGGCCTTTTATATCTTTAAAAAGTACCTAGTAATATTCTCTAAAGCTCTCTAACTTCTAAGTAATCTTATTAAATAAAATATCGCTATTTTCATCTAGTTATAGTTATTTTCTACTTCTTATTCTAAAAATAGGAGAAAAATTCTAAAAACTTTTAATATTCTTAACTAAATTTTATATATCTAAAAATGCTAATATTTCGCACTTTTTGAATATCACAATACTTTGTTCTAGCTGTCATTTAACTTATTCGTCTCGGTTTTAGTTGAACAAATAGTGGGGGCTTCTCCCAAAGTGCAAACACTTTTTGTTTTATCCAATCGTTCTTTGTATCAGGATGCAGTTCCAAGTCGAAATTCCAGATCATCTTCGCGACCACAAGACGCATTTCCGCGGCCGCCAGACTTGATACCCATAAGTTAGCCAACAGTATTAGCTAGTTAACATATGTCATAAATACTCGCGGGAGACTCACTTCTTGCCGATGCAGTTTCTCGGCCCATACGAAAATGGGTTGAAGACAGCGAAGTTGTCACCAGAAAACCGCGGATCTCCGAGCCAACGCTCTGGTATAAAGGAGCTGGGCTCAGTGAAGTTGCGACTGGAATGATTAGCAGCATACTGTGTGACATATACTGAAGTCTGTGACCAAAAGGATGTCAGATTTGATTAATAGCAACAGCTATGTGTATGGCAAGGAGGATATCACCTTTTCTGGCACCCAATGTCCGCTAATGAAGTCGCCCCCCTTCGGGACGACTCGGGGGAACCCAGTGGGCACCGGCGGGTAGAGCCGTAAGGTCTCATTAATGACTGCGACCAAATACGGCATCTGCATAACTTCCTTGATGGTGATGTCTTCTTGAGCTTTGAACCTCCCACGAACTTCTTCTGCTAGCTTCAGCAGCTTGTCAGGGTGTTGGGTCAAGAACCAAGTCAAGCCAGACAGTGTTGTGGCACTCGTCTCACTTCCTGCGATCATAAAACTGTTCAGAGAAGACTCCATTTCCTTGACTGACATCCCTTTTTCGTCCTGGTGCCGCAAAATAAAGCTCATAAAGTCCGGGCGAGTTGTCTCTGTGGACAGACGGGAAGCAACCTTCTCGTCCACGAAGGTGAAAAATTTCTTGCGAAGCTTGAGGGCCGTGGGTGTCTGAAACAAACCTGTGATCCAAGCCCATAATGGGAAATAGCGCTTGAGGGAGATAATACCAAACGACTTCATTACCTGAAAAGCCATAGAGACCCAAGGGTGATAATCATTGTTCTGAAGGCAATGGAACGATTCTCCAAAAGTCAGGTCAGCGATGACGTCGAAAGTTGTATAGTTGTACCATCTGACCATGTCGACTCTGCCCCTGGCTTTCCCCTCAACCTGCTGATGCATTCGCTGGATCAGCAGGTTAACATATCTCTGGATAATTTGTTCCTGCTCACGTAGCGCTCTTTCAGAGAACGCATGTGAGACGAGACGGCGTTGCCTAGCATGGTCCTCTTCAGTTGCTGCAATGATAGAATTGACGCCGTTAGGAGGCAATGGAAAAAACATTGGGTCCTTCAGATATGCTCCTTTGTTTCGTTTACCAATACGCAGGCCATAGATATCCTGCCAGGCTGTTTCTCCGCTGATGAAGGACAGTTCATTTGGTGCAAGACGGACTACTTCCCCGTATTTTTGATGCAGTTTTGTGATGTATTTGACTATATTGCCATCACGAATATGTTTTGCCCACACCAGTCGGCTTGCTGCTGCAAGCTTTGGTCCCGGAATATTCTTCAAGGGATGGAAGTGCACGTTGTACAAGGCAATAGTTAAGTTGTACAGAACTATCTGTGGTTATATTAGCAAGGTCTTTTCCGGCAGTACTGGCAGGAAACCGCATTAAAAAAAACCTACAGCTAGGAGCACTATCCAAAGAACGCTCAGAGAATGATCTTCGGTGAGGGATGGTAGCATTGTTATCCGTGTATCCATATTCGTTGAAGCTGGAATTGCAACTCAGTTCGATAACATCGATATCTTCAATGCTATTTATCAACATCCTATTAATTACGAGTGTATATTGCAGCGTGCGGCTCACAGATAGTAGTAAGTTTGTTGGTCGCTATAGTCAGGGCTAGCATAATGAATTACCTGATGCCAAATACAATATTGGCTAGGCTAAATGCACTAAGGACATGGTCAATAGTTGTGAGTGATAAGCTTATACAGCAGCAGTAAGCTTATCCTCCGAATATTCAGGTCTGCTGAAGTCTCCTTCAATTACCACGGGGTCAACATCTGAAATCAGCTTACCAACATGTTCATGAAGTAATGATGTCTCTTATATCCCTAACAAGCTGATCAGGAAAGTGAATAAGCAAACCTGGAACTAGCCAGATAACATTATCTTATGTTTTTCTCCTTTTAGCCGAGATACATATCATCTGGGTGTGATACCGTCCAGTATGCAGGTGTTAGGCTCACTAAGGGGTTCTTCTTCAAACCAATACCCCGACATCAATGGTAGTTATGGATCTGGTCGCAATCCTCTACCGCAACTTACAATGGCTCTTTTCTATCAATTTTTCATTTATGAGCATTTTCTTTTTTATTTCAGGTGGGAATATCAGCGAGGGCTCCTCAACGCATTCAGCCCTCCTTGGTAATCGCAGGCAGAGTTTTCCTCGTGGTGTTGTGGAAGAGGCTTCTACACTTCAGGAGGAAACCACTAGTAACATCACGAGCAATGTCTTACTAGTCCTCGAGAAATACCGACTCCATGCTCCCCGAGGCAAGAATCAGCCTTTATGCGCGGTAAACAAGTTTGTATCACAAATTAAACACCTTATTGCCCAGGGAGAACCAATCTCTATGGTTCTTCCCGCCTTTCCCTTCAAATCCGCGAACAAAACTACCAAGGTTCTAGGGGCCCTTCCTGATAAAGGAGAAGAGATGGCGTTGAAACACTTAAACAACATGTGCCAGGAAATTGGAAAATATTATAAGAATGGTGCCCAGCTCTATATTGTTTCTGACGGTCTCGTTTACAACGGTTAGTAGTGCTTGCTGGAAATGTTTCTAGTTAACTACTAAGATGGCTAGTTAACCAGTTCATCATCTGACGTTGTGGCTAACTAGTTAGTTTCATAACCAGATATCTTAGGTGTTTCAGATGAAGAAGTCTGGCGTTATGGGCAAGCGCTGCGACAACTAGCCCGGGAACAAAGCTGTGACAATATTGGTTTCTCTCGACTCTCCGATCTCCTTAATGATGACACGCTCCCAGAGCCGCTTTCAGAGGCAGAGTATGTGAAATACGCTCCCAGATTTCGAGAACAAACTTTGCAAAGATATCTTCCAAGAGACTTTGATGTCGTCAAAGCCATTACGAATGATCCAGATATAAATTCTACCTATTGCGGATATGTGAAATTTCTCAATCTAGAGTTGGCAGATACTTTGCTGAAAGACCAAAAAATGACGACGACACACAAGATTCGATGCTGTAAGCAGGTAGCCAGGCACATGATCACTCGAGGCAAGGTAAGGCGGCAGATTTAATCTAGTTAATTGTGGCATAGTATGGATATTGGGTTTACTGACGTAATTGGGAATAGGCATTTGCCGATGCAATCCTTCATAGATTTCCTGAACACATACGACTCTCGATCCATGCGTCGACCGATACAAAGAAGATCTCAGTCTCATTGATACCACAAACAGGCTCTTTGAGCATGACACCGTGGCATTCGGCCCTTGTATATGCTAGCGATGGGTCTATATCCATGCAGCATGCTGGCACAGTCTCAACCGCCACTCATATTTTAGTGAGAGAAGAGGGGCAGCCGTATTATTTTAGAGAGGACCTACCCACGTATGCGGCTTCTAGTTCTACGAGCTTGACTAGCAAGCGACCCATCAAACTCCAAACGCCAGGCAACCATCTGTGAGCCTCCTTCAAGTGTGATAACTTCTGTGGTCAACCAACCTGGCAAACTTTCAGTACTTACGGAGTACTCAAATAAGTTAACTACTTATTTTAAGCTTAAACTTTAGTTAGTTAGTTAGTTACTTAACTAGCTAGAAAAATCATATACATTCAAAGTTAGTTTGAGATTGTTTATTTTGTTGTCTCTATACAAAGCTACTTGTCTATGATCTTTAGATGAAATCAGCTAAGGCTTTTCAATTAATACACTTTTGACCCCAACTGCCAAAAAACTAGTGCCTAAAGATTGTAGGACAGGAGGGATACAAGTGGCAGCTAGTGATGAACGGGGGTATAAAATATCAGATGTTGGTAAAAATTGACATCTGTACACCCAGATACCCGAAATTTATGTCTATTCTATCCAAGTATGTCTGTCTACATGCAAGTTTTGGATTTTGCACGCTACTCAGCTTTTCTGCCCACCTTTCCAATCCTTCTCAGGCCCCAAATGCTAATGCATAAGCTTGTCATAGTGAGAGCAACGCAGAACCAAAATGCTGCCTGGTACCCGGCCAATAAAGCTTCAGGGCTAAGCTTGTCCCCACCACGGGAATCTCTGGTGACCTTGTTTGCCACCAGTGCTGTGAGTGCCAAACCGATACTCTTCCCTGTCTGAGAGACGGTGTTAAACACACCGCCTGCCACCCCCTGAGTCTTCGGAGGAAACATGGACGTGATCAGCAGGTTAGATATAGTGAAAATTCCATCCGCCCCGATAGGATTTAAGAAATTCGCAAGGAATGCGCACGCCCAATAGGACCAGCTAGGCTGGGCGACAGCCATAAGCACAGGCGCAAGACCGCTAAGGATTGTGGTTATAATTACAATCCAATCCGCTCGAACGCGGTGGATGATAAGCCCAACAACAACATTGGTGAGCGCTCCAGAAATCGGAGCAGGGAGGAAACGAAGAGCCGTATCTAGAGGGCTGAGATGCTGCACCTCCTGAAAGAAGAAATTTTGATACTGCTCAAAAGCATTGAATGCAGCCCATATCAAGAAAACATTCACACAAGTACATGTGAAGACTTTGTTGGTCCATAGAGAGTTAGGGATTAAGGCCGGAAGGCCAAGACGTTCCTGGCGCCCAACCCACACCACAAACACCGCAAATAGTATGAAGGACAGTATCAGAAGGCAGATGTTTTGGGGTTGCTGGATCGCGGAGATGCTCTCTGTGACAACTCTGTGCGCTATATTAATGGACGTGCTTTACTTTTCACATGCATGGGCAGGAACTTACGCAATAACGTAGGATATTATAGCCAGAGCAGCACTAGCAAGGTTCACTCCGACCCAATCAATGTCGGATGAGAGGCGCTTCCACACGCTCCGAAAGGCTGGGTCTCTTCTAGCAGACTTTGGGAGCTGCCATGTGCATACAAATAGCATAAGAATGTTAGATATAGCTGCAATGAAAAACCCCCATTTCCAGCCAACAGTCCCGGTGATGACGCCTCCAAGCACCAATCCAATGCCGAAACCTACTGGTTGTGCGCCCCCCATGGAGGCAAAGGCAACATTCCGGGATTGGCCAGGTGGGAACATCTCATTTATTAGGCTGACCGCAGATGGCAAGCAAAACGAAGCAGCAACTCCAGAAAAGGCACGGAAGACAATCATTTGGGTGCCTGTTTTGGCCAATCCGCATGCTAGCGTCGACACTCCCTGGAAGAAACAGCCGAGGAGAAACATGAGCCGGCTACCTATGACGTCTGATATCGAACCACAGATCAACAGGGTGCAAGCACATGTAAGAGAGTAGACGGTGACTGGCCTAGTCCATATGAAAGATGAATAATAAGCACTCCGTAGCCAGTCACACAAACTCGAACTATTGAAACATACCAAAGCTCCAGGTTTGCAGGTAGGTTTAATTCTTCTGTGATTACAGGAATGGCCATAGTAACCAGCCCAGCCAGAAAAGTAGTAATGCCGGTGCTGTAAGTGATGCAGGCAATGACAATGGCTGTCTTCTTTGTCGACACGACATTAGTCTCGATTTCTATGGCCATTATCACCGGGGTTGCTGTAGTTGAACAACTAGTTTGCTCGTTTGCAATACTTTCAGAGGCCTGAGTTAGAATGGCGGACGATGGTGCTCCCGCAGAACTGCTGGTATTTCGAGACATGTTGGGCTGCTGCTAGTGTGTCACCGTTGGCTGAATTGGTTTGCTGTGACGGAAAAAAAAATGGTAAGAACTTGGATGGATAATTCGCTCTTCGGATGAGGGGAAGGGCGTGCGCGATGGAGGAAATGAAAATAGTCGAGATGGTGTTGGGAGGATGGCTCTCTTGATTGAAATGGATTAGCTAGTTAACTAGTTAACCAATCAGTTATCGTTGCTTCTTCTTGTTGAATGTTGGATCGTAAGCTGACGCTGACAACTCCGATTGGCCCGAAGGATGTACTCCGTGTTAATTAAAGAAAAAGAAAGAAAGCTGGGTAAAGAGGATGACATCCTTGAGCTAGCTTATTTCGCATAAAGCTAAGTCAAAGTAAGGTATCGGGTCATTTCTGCAGTGTTAGAGTAGTGAGCTTGCTGTGTAGCTTGAAGTTTCTCATCATATTTTTGGAGTACTCCGTAGTCCACCCAACAACATTAAAGCCTGGGAATTGAAAAATGGAATCACATAAGTCTATTGACCAATAAACGTTATCCGGAACCTAGAAACGAAGAGAGTGTATGGAGGAGTAAATGAAAGAAAGAAAAAAAGAAGAAAAAATGTTAAGAGATCATTATCACAGCAATGAGAGAGGTCCTGACTATTTTCAAGATGGATGAATCATCGGTTGCTGCGGTACCGGTATCTAATCACCATGGCTATGGGTAATACAAGGTATGCGAGGAGAGGCTTCCAATGTTTGTTGTAAAAGACCAAATTTTGACTTTAACATTATAAAGATATCCTCGAGCTCAGAATCGAAGGGGAATATATCAAGCGAGACTCCAAGCTGATACAAGTCCACAAGTTGGCTAAGGAGTTGATCCGTCTGCGCTCCAAGGTGTTGCTTTTGTCTCCGGAGGATGGCTATCGCGGTCTTTGTCTGTTCATCAGAGCGTTGGGTACAGGAAACTGGGGTCGATGGCTGAGTCTCATGAAGGTTATTGCCATTATCCCGACCAGGGTTGAAGCTGAAATCTGGTAAATGCCTCCCAGGACTTGGGAGAGGTATGTCGAATAATGCTGGCTGAAGACCCTAACATGGCGGGAAATATTTATTAACTCAGTGCTAACTAGAAGAGCTTGGGATAGCAGGGTATGGAGAGGTATCCAGTATCTTACCTGCGTAAGGTTGCTACAGCTTGCCTGCCAGAACATGTCATGAGAATAAGACTGGGTCATTTCCGGTTGCAGCCGTTGCGGGTGAGTTTCCCGTTCAGTTCCCTGTGAGTCCCGACCATGAGCTACTGGATTTTGACCATTATTTCCCAGCTGCCTATGCCCATCTTGTTCGATTTGCGTGTTGCAGGAAACGGGATTATGCTCGCAAGGTTGGCTCGGGGTCGTAGTTGGAGTCTTCTTGGGCCGGTGTCGTTCGCCTAAATATACTGTATTAGCCAGAAAAATGAGTCCTTAAACATCCATTCAGCTTAACTAGGTAGCTAGTGTCGATCGTACGATATCTCTGCTGTGCAAGCCGATTTTGATATTTCCGACGTTGCTCATATTGACTCTCGCTTGACTTAGTCAGCAAGCTATCGTTCATTTTTGGCGAGGATCAACAGGTATGTGTGAGTTTAAACGGCGAGCAGACCACATCAAGATATCTCGGTCCGGATATAGCGTTTCAAGGACGGCTTCTGGTATACGAAGTCGTGATAGAGTACTCTTTAGTTATAACCTTAACTACACGCAAGTTTTGACATTCTCATAACAAAATAATATTTAGACTGACCCTGGTACTTCATTAACTAGTTACGGAGTAACTAGTCAAGCAACCTTAACCATAGTTATCAACCCTGCGTGATAGCAAGAATTCCAAAGTTGCGGGCAGCTTATGGCGTCAGCAACTACGAAGAATGACCTATACCTAATTACCGGCTTCTCCGCCTCTGCCACCACGTTGGCGGGCCCCCACGGCGGAGTATACGTATACAGATGGGAAAACGCCATGCACTTGAGGGAATGTACCAGCTAGTTATGCAAGTCCGAGTCACTTGTGCTGCCAACACAAAAGTCATGATGTTACATAGCATCTTCGGTATATACCCCGTCGAATCTCCAAAACTGGTATATTCTCCGCGGAGGCCAGGCTTCCGGCCCGGGGCAATATGCACGTATGTGGTAGTCATGTAACGGGGTAGGTCATTTGGCGACAGCTAGTTAGATACATATATCTGCTGGCCATGACGTGCTCTCTCTTTTCCTCTTGGCGGACACAGCGTCGGAGGCTCTACTTATTCAATAACTTGTCGAGTTAACCCAGTACTTTGCTCACTACGTAAATACTTCACCCCACAGTAAGCTGACAATTGAGATAGGACCTTCAAATGGAGAACTCAAGGAATGTACAGTATTTACGCTAGAAGAGAGCGACTATCCGTCCGTCGTTATAAATGTATATCGGCATGAGCGCCTCTGCTCTATGCATTTGCGCTCACTTTATTCTTTCTGGTAGGTAGAATTCGCATAGTGAATTATATTTTCCCGCCTATTTTTCCCCTACGGCAGAAGCATTAGTAGTTATTCGACTTCCACCATGAGCCCTGCCGCCACTGTTACGGGTAAATCAGATACAAGCTCAACAATGTACAGCACCGGGGTTAATTACCCTCTTCCAGCAAGGTAGGGGAGTTATTTTTTTCCGTTGCTCTCGGTTCCGGCTTGAGGTTAAACTGACAAATATTTATAGCATTAAGGAACATGCCCGCCTGGAGGAACAGTCTGTATGTCTTGCGGACTTAATGGGTCGTACTTATCATGCCCCCTTACCTGCCGCACCAACACTGCTTTTGGACATCGGGTGTGGAACTGGGGTGGTTACCACCTACCTGGGAAACACTTTCCCCACCGCTAATGTCTACGGGATTGACCTCTCACCCGTTCCACAAATTCACCATCCCCCCCCCAATGTGAAATATATCCAAGGAGATATCCATGAATTGTCCTCTCTGGACCCACGCATCGTACAGGGGGCTGCGGACCTGTCCTTTGGTCGCCTTCTAGTATGCGGCATCAGGGATTGGCTTTCGTGCATTGTGGCCATGAAAAATTTGGTTAAACCAGGCGCTTGGGTAGAGCTTCAGGATTTGAATAATCGCCTTTTTGATAGTGACAATAAGCGAGTTGACGTGAATATGGAATGGATGAGGGTACTCCGCGCCTCACTCGAAAGTAAGGGCTTAGACCCCGATGCGGGAATCAATGCAAGAAAGTATATGGAAAAGGCGGGACTGGTGGATATACAGTCATGGGAGTATAAATGGACCGTTGGGCCTTGGTTAGCAGACCAAGAGCCGCAAACCCGCCGCTTTGGTGAATTTGAAGGCCGCGAGATGAAGAACCCGTTAGCACACTTGCTCGAGGAACTGCCCGATGGGGAGATATACGGGGATAAGCTAAAGCAGTCCCTCCAGCATCAGATGAGAAAGGATATGGAGCCGAAGAAAACGGGAGAAAAGGGCATCTACTTCACATTTACTGTTACCATCGGTCGACGGTCTTTCGAGTGAGTGATTAACTGCACATACGAGCAACTCTAGTGAGCTAGTCATACGGGCCATTATGGACTGTGGCCCATAACTAGGGTCCGCAAGCTTGGTATATTTATTAATTATATATATTATTTCTCCCTGGGTGCTATTTAATCGTGATTTGATAGATAGTTTTTGGTATTCCAAGCATAAGCCTGTGCAGACACCGGTAAAGTTGCAGACAATATGGTGAAATTACATTTCAAGTCGGTTTAATGTACTAGATTACATCGTCTAGGTTCCCTGTATTGACAGGTCGGATAATTATGATATCATTCTGATGTCACCGGCCATGGGCTTTAAATATCGCCATCAGCTTCAAATATGGAAAGCTAGAAGCTCCCGTAAGAGTCATTGTAAACACAAATGTGGTCTCGCAATTTTACTCGGGGCCTTCTAAATCGCTATTCACTCATTACTTCCCAAAGATATCTAGGAATTCCACAGACAGGAAGAATTTGTAACGTCAAAATGACATCCTCCAAAGCAGGTACTGATGGCGCTTTTCAGCCAGTAGCAGAGAAACAAGCGCAAAACCAGCCAGGGTATGTCGCCTCTGTTGAATGCACTACTTGTGAGTAGTTCTAAACGGTTTCCGTTAGTTTGGAGAAGAACTTAGCCCCAACGAGTGAATCAACCAAGCTCGAGGGAGCCGGCGGTTTTGTTGAATATGCCGGCAGCGGCAAATTGAAGGACAAAAAAGTCATCGTAACCGGTGGCGAGTATGCAGTACATCCTGTTCATCAAGTGCCAGTATTCTAACTGCGCTTTCATAGTTCCGGTATTGGCAGGGCTGTGGCCATCCTCATGGCCCGTGAGGGGGCAGACGTGACAATAATCTATCTGCATGAAGAGCAGGAAGATGCAGAGGTGACAGCTGAAGCAATTAGGAAAGAAGGAAGAGAATGTCTTCTCTATCCTGGAAATCTCACGGACGAGCCAACCTGCAAGTACGCGGTAGCCGAGCACGTCAAGAAATTTGGCCGCGTCGATGTCCTGGTTAACAACGCATCACGACAGTTTCTATGCAAGGAGTTTACGAATATCGACCTCAAGGCCGTGAAGGATACGTTTGAGGTCAACATTGTGCAAATGATTGCTTTGAGCAAGTATGCCGTGCCACATATGGAAAAGGGTAGCTCGTAAGTTGTAACATCCTCTGTCGTGGTATATTTCGCAGTGGCCTAACTCCAGCTGAAAGGATCATAAACACCACTTCTGTCACTGCATTCCGTGGCTCATCATCCCTCATTGACTATGCTTCAACAAAGGGAGCTATTGTCAGCTTCACAAAGTCGCTGGCTCAAAACCTTATTTCAAAGGGTATTAGAGTGAATGCAGTAGCGTAAGTACCACTCCATCCCTACCATTCTTTCTTCTCACCTGGAATGAGAGTATTAATATACCCTACCTAGCCCTGGTCCGGTCCATACACCCATTCAGCCTGCCTCGCGACCAGCCGAACAAATGGAAGGATTTGGATCAGGTTCTAAACTTGGTCGACCCGGCCAGCCAAGTGAGATCGCTCCGAGTTTCATCTTCCTGGCAAGCAACGAAGCAGCACTATACAGTGAGTCCTACTATATTGTAGCTAATAAATCATTGAAACACTAACGGGAGGTTATAGATGGCCAAGTTTTGCATGCATACCCTCTGGGAGATTAAAGCTGGGAAAATAGCACCGGGTGCATACTGGAACACCCTTGGTAAAAAAGTATTAGCAAGTCTGCCCAAGAAGTAAAGGAAGTAAAGGAAAGTAAAGGAAGGGAGTGTGTATGAATTGAAAATAATGCGCTAAATATTGAACGCTCAGTAGAGGTTAATCCTCTTTAATACTCCGCCTTTTTTAGAATGGAGACTATCCGTAGACCCAGAACTCCTGTCACTTTCCCTGTAGAAATACATTCACAATGCGCTATTGCCGTTGCTGTTGCCGTTGAAAAATAAATAAAAAAAATGCGTATGGGGTACCACAAAGGAGGGCTTTAAAAATCGAGTATAGGACGCCTAGATGACATCCTGTCGGTCCCAACCGGTGGGCTTGACAACCTCGGCAGATTTGGTAGGATGAGGCTTTTCTGGATTCTCGTACTTAGCTGCATAAGGGTTGGGGTCGATCTTCTGGTTCAAGTTAGCCAGCGTGTGATTGACCTCTCGATGCTTTGCCTCGTCAGCCCTGACGTAGTAAAGTAAGTCAACCATCTTCTGGTGTCCTTCCGGCATGTTCCAGTACTTAATGGCAATATCCGGCGCCGGCAACTCCTTCCAGGCAGGTAGTTTGCCGTCTTCCAGGTCCTTAATGGCATGGGTATATGTCAAGACAGCCTCTTCTTCTAGGTATCCAACAAAGCGGTGGCATGTTCGTGGTGAGATGAGGTAAGAAAGGAAAAAACCGTTGAAGAACACGCCTTGGGCGCCGAGTACCATGAGCCTCATAAACCAGCCTGGTTCAGCGAGTTTGAGGAAGGTAAGTAGATGCATGCGTTCGTTATATGCTTCCTCGAGGAGGGTCTCGATCCAGCCATTATCACGCTTCATCTTTCTTAAGCTGTGGAGATGCCGAAGCATTCCGCCAACCATTCCAGGGACACCTGCCACGGTTTCCAAGAAGACAAAGCGAATAAGCCATTTTCGTTCGTTCATCTGGAAGTGCCCGGATGGCACCGGCTCACCAGCTTTAGGGTGTCTATAACCCGTAGCCAGGTCAGTGCCCCATCGGAGGAGTCGTACAGTTCCCAGGGCAACCCAGTCCGACCAGTCTTTCGTCTCTCTGTGGGCAACTATGATATCTTTCATTTGTTTCTGGGTGAATCTAATTAACCTGTTAGTTGCCACGTCATCTTATGAGTGTATCTAGGGTGTGTGTAACTTACACAGGGTGTTCAAATGCCGACTCGGTCTCAACTATGCGCTTTGTTTGTTTTGGTGCTGCGAAAAACTCCTTGAGCCTTGCTGGGGAAGTGGTGGAGAAGTTTCTTCCCTGGCCATGGCTGTTCTGGTAATAGAGAGAAGCTGAGCTTCCTCGCAACCCGACGAACAAAGCTGGGGATGGTCTGAAGCCGCTGTGAAGGCACTTCTGCGAGAGCAGTCTGGCGCCAGAGCCCTGAACTAGGACTCGGAAAGGGGCCGGTGTTGGTGCGTGCATTGGAGTTCGTGAGATTAGGGGAAGAGAGGGATAGCAGGCGGTAAACGCGTAGTATCAGAAGGTCAGTAGCAACTATAATAGTCCTTAATATGCTGATGAAGAGAATATCCAGATATCAAATTGACTTCTCCAGGAACTGGTGGCCCCTGTTATATAAGAATCTCCGAACCCGCAGCGAACCAAAGAATAACAAAAGCGGGTGATGTCATAGGCGTACAAAGGAGCCAGCTCATTACCTAAGCAGGGCTCCTGCTCCTCCGAAAAGACCCGCATCGCTTGGCGGCCACTTTTAAACGCGCTCGAGTTTTGCCGCCAGGTTTTCCACGCCGCTGCAGAAACAGGGAAAAAGCACGGAGAGAGAGAAAGTACATAGACGTGCGGCTAAGGTCAGCAGTTCCCTTAGTGATAGGGCAAAAAGGCGAGTAACTAAACAAATGAAAGGCCGGCAACTGGTAACTAGCAAGCAAAATTTTCTGGATTGCTATGACTCCTCATGCACTTCCGAAAGATCCCGGAGTATTTCAGCCAAACCGCTTGACTCCTTATTAATTCGCTACGTTAGCTCAGCCCTCTGGATCAGCGCCAGGAAATTTCTGCTGCTTCAGATGATTCATCGGGCATAATCTTCTCAAATCCCGTTGTCTCGCCCACGAAAACCCAAGAGATCGGAGGATACGTCCACATACTCCGTTGCTCCTGAATTCCTATGCCTCAAAACACATGCCAGGTCACGGCCAATCACGCTAACTTTGCATGGAAAAAACTTGGGCCTCGAGCGTAGGACAAGTCCAGCCCTCGAACCAACTCTCGTCTCCTAGCGGACAACCAGGAACTTTGTCTCGCCGTCCTTGAGCTCGATGTCGGTCTTGTCAACACCGTCTACCCGTGCGTGGCTTGGACCTGAAGAGATCTCCTTCATCAGCTTGCTAAGTGGCTCCTCTTCCCCCTGAGCCTCGCCTTGGACCTGTTGTCTCAGTTAGTTGGAATGCGCTGGCATACACGCACGACCTTGACACGCACTGATCCCCGCGTGGTGTTTCTGCACCAGCCTGTTACCCCGTAGCTGTTGGCTCGTTTCTGAGTGAAGTCGCTGAAATATATGTCAGCTACAGCAGGTGTGATCAAGCGCATTATTAAGATTCGCCTTACCGGAAGCAAACGCCTTTGAGGGTGGATCTGTTAGTTTTGCTCTTGTATCTCAGGCTGTGCGTGACGTACCTTGGACCAACCCGTATGCCTCGAACGCTATCTACAACAATTAATAGGCTATTAGTCGTGATGGTTAAGTCGTATAGCTCATACTTACTCGTTTAGCCATTGTATTTGTGCTTAGCAGATCACAGCATGCAGCTTTTTATACGCTTAGTTGGCTGTTCCCAATCCATCGAGGTTGGTTGAACTTGATATCGTTTTATTGCGATGACGGAGTCATAGTTAACTCGCTAGATGCACGTGACGTTGATATTTGGTGCAGAGTCAACTCTCACCACGCAGTAACGTCAATCTTTGGGCGTTATCCAGGCTTCATTTGCAAAGGAAAATCAATAATTGGGCTTTTATATTCCTAGAGCAGTCTGATATGAATTTTCTCTGAAATCCTGCATTATAATCGCCCAGACATCCGGCCAACTGCCAGTCTTGACTTATTAAGTTCAACCAATAAATAGCGAGCGTATCAAGTTCATCCTGGGGCCAATAATTGCGCAGTGAAGTCGCCCTGTATACAGATATTACAGAATACGACAAGCTTAGCAGCATCTTCCAGTGGCCTCGGTATCGTTTTCACTGTCCGACTACTCCGTACGTGTTATTCATTGCCTTGCTATGAGTGTCTCGCACATCTGCAATGGCATACCTATGCTCACGAGAACTTTATACCAAACTAGCAGATTACTGAAAAGCTGTCACTAGCGAAATGGGTGAAATTGGGGAATATTGGCGAGACAATAGGCAGCACAAAAAACGCAAGCGGGAACAAAGAGAAAATAACCCCCGAGGGCACAAGAAACACAAGCGAGAACATGGAGCAAATAACCCCCCAAGACAGCGATGCTTTGATTGGATGGTGACAAGCGGCGTTAACTATGCGAAAAACCGATCCTCCTTCAAGGCATATCAACATATCAACCCAGTGACACTTGAATCTGGCACTGGTGTGCGCGTTATCGGGATGGGAACAGTTGAGCTCAAAGTCCCAAGATCTCCTGATAACCAAGAGGTTAATACACTCGTACTGGACGGCGTTTTACATATCCCTGAAGCCATTTGCAATGGATTCAATCCCCGCGTACTTGGAGGCTCTACATCGTTTGGAGAACCTCTGCAGAGTTATGACGAGAATCGCAGGCCAACTTACTATGCCACTCAGTTTTGTGGATTATGGAGACTCGTTCTTGATGGAAATCCCCAGGGGGAATCTCGGCTAGCCGAAGCTAGAAGAGATGGCTCGGTGATGTTATCTCTGAGCCTATTTATCAGTGAGGAGGATGAGGCCCGTTTATTCGAGTAGACGGGTCTGGAATATATCCTATGCACCTTCGCCTGTTCACCTTACATGGGTGCTTCGTGACTTAGTGTCGGAAACAATACTCACCGCTCATACTCCCGTGGGCATATGCATATGAGTCTACTAATATTTACTTTGAATTAAACTTGTTATGCTTATATGTACTCGCAACTTGCTACTACGCCACATAGCTTCTCCACCTCATGTGTGTACAAACTTTGAATTCTTTATATCATACTCGTTTTGCCATCAGATTGGTCAGTAGATTGGACAGCTTGTCTTCCGTTGCGCTGTTATCTCGTGGAATCTATACTATAACTGTTCCAAAAGAGAAAGGTCACTCAAACCAGGATCAACAGCTTAAAGATGGTACTGATGAGTAGCTAGTTTCAACTCTGACTCCAGGTACATTCCACCGATAAATTAGGTTGTTGCGGCTAAAAGTACCCTTCTTTTAAGCATCCTCCTACCGAGGATCGGCCTGAGCGTTGGGTGTGAATATGTAGATATGGGGAATATATGTGGTTGTATGGAATAATTAACTAAACACCATGTCAATATATGCGGGCGCATTGATACAATAATACTATCAGGGCTCGGGCCCCCCGCTACACCTAGACGCCAAAATCACTTTACGTTCCTATATTCATCTCTAGATCGATTATCACCTACGAAAAGGAAACGCGACTTTATACTTTTATTAGTGCGGGGCAAGTGGGTCAGTTCTCAGATTGTGGGGAACGCATCAAGTATAACGTGTTAGCCGCCGCTCCCGCGCGTCTAACGACTTGCTGTGGGTGAAATATCCTTCACCATTGGACAGTCGGCTACACTCTTTTAAAAAGTTCAGGAAATAATATTTATTGTAATTAATATAACTATTTGGATGGATTCGAATGTTAAAGTATTCTTCCCGCATAGGGCCCTGGACGTATTCGCATATGAATACTTAAAGGACGTTACCCTTTCAACAAACGGTTCGACTTCTCTATATTCTGAGAAGATCAAGTTTACGTTAGCGGTTAAGAATTAAAGAACGTGAATGCAATCAGCTTTAGCAATCTCCAACTAGGCATCCCAATCGTGGCTCGCCGTATCTCGTCCAGCTTCAAAGGCAGGATTTGCTGAGTCAGCTACACGGACAACGGATTATTAATCTCCCGATGACGGATTATGTAATAAGAACACCAAAAGCCCTGGGGGGAAAAAAAATAAAAACATCAAAAAGGCGTTTTGGCTACAGCGTTTTCTCTTCTCAGAGCTCAAGAAACCGGCATAAAGCTACTCTCCCGGCGTTAGAGCTTTTTGGGTGATTCCTCTTTCCACTCCTTTTGTTTGCTCTAAATTGTCTGTCTATTTCCTTACCTCCGTTACAATGGACCTGAACCCCAAATACGACGACTATGACTTTCCCTATGAGTCCGCTGTGGCGCAGAACGGTCACCCCGGACACTTGACCGAACAGCAGATAGCCGCAGTTCACCAGCTACGGATGATGCTGGAGGCTGAGGGATATACAGAACGACTTGATACCTTGACATTGGTACGGCAGTGCACAATTTTTGTGGGAGTATACGTCAAGTGATGGCACCATTGGCTAATCAGTATATGGCGGGATGGTAGCTGCGATTCCTCCGTGCTCGCAAATTTGACGTCAATCTGTCGAAGCAGATGTAAGGCTAAGAATATTCTGGTCTGTCTATAGATAGATTATCTCGGAAAGGATGGTTCACTGACTGCCTACAGGTTCATTGACTGCGAGAAGTGGCGAAAGGAAATCAAGCTCGATGACATCGTCCCGGTCTGGGACTATCCCGAGAAGCCGGAGGTTTCAAAATATTATAAACAATTCTACCATAAGACAGATAAGGTCCGAACCTCGGGATACAGCTTCTTTCTTATGGTTAATGCCTGACAGTTGTTATCTAGGATGGCCGTCCCATCTACATCGAGACACTCGGTGGCATTGACCTGACCGCCATGTACAAGATCACTACCGCTGAGCGCATGCTTACCAACCTTGCCGTCGAGTATGAGCGTGTGTCCGACCCTCGCCTCCCTGCTTGCTCCCGAAAGGCTGGTTCTCTTGTCGAAACTAGTTGTAGCATCATGGACCTCAAGGGCGTTACTCTTACCAAGGTGCCTTCTGTGTATTCCTACGTCCGTCAGGTCTCTGTAGTCTCCCAAAACTACTATCCTGAACGACTAGGAAAATTGTATTTGATCAATGCTCCATGGGGTTTCTCTACCGTCTGGAGTGTGGTCAAGGGCTGGCTTGATCCTGTCACTGTCAGCAAGATTCACATTTTGGGCTCTGGATATAAGCCGGAATTGCTTAAGCAGGTTCCTGCCGAGAACCTACCCAAGGAGTTCGGCGGTACCTGTGAATGTGAAGGGGGCTGCATAAACTCTGATGCCGGCCCCTGGCATGACCCACAATGGGTTAGACCTGCCAAGTGGGAGAAGAAGAAAGGAGAAGGAAATAAGACAGAAACAAAGGAGGAGAACGGAGCCACCACGGCTCTTACCTCCGAGAAAAACGATGCCGCCCAGACAACTGGCACCGAATCCACCCCGGCACCCCCTGTTGCCGGGGCCTAGATGGTTAACATGTTGGTTAGAATTTCTTATAGGCTGCATATTAGCCAATAAAGACCATGTTTCCCGGCGGTTCAGAGATCCGCGCGACCAAATATTTAATATCATATCTACTCCATATATACTGGTACATTAGAATGCATTATCACTCTAATACATCATTGAACTAATTACCTGTGGGTTTTCCACGCCCTTGCTTGACTAGTTACGATGACTTATCGGAGAATATTCTAAGACATTGAGAACAACCCTATTGCTTGTGTCGCCGTATACTCCGTGCACATAGAAGTCAAGTGGAAGTCGAGGATTACACTGTTTGAAAGCGAGGCCACCCAAGATGAAATTTTTTATCGAATGAGTACAGTTCATTAACTTCGTGCAAGTACTCCATTGTTCAGTCTTTCGTTTCTTGGTATATTTGGTCCACCGAGAACAATTTATCCCCTTAATTCTTACTTCTGTAGCAAATACTGACAATGTACCGGATACAGCCGAAGTCCTTAACTGTTAGCTTAGGTGATTGTGTTAGAAGCAGGTTCTCTGGCAATATCGATGGGCCATATCATCACATATAGTTCTCCTTTCTGACAATGGATGAAAATTCAGGTACCGAATAATTTCACCATGACTACTAAAATTACAGAATACCTTTATTGGACGCCAGCGGTGTATGGAGCATTTCTTGTCTGTTAAAATAATTCTGCCCCTTTTCCAACCTGTGACTTGAAAATTTCTAGATTTGCGCTAATGTAAATTAGTGGATATTTGGCTTTTCACTAAGCACCTAAGCGCGTCTGGGCGGCAACCTTAAAGCTAAAATGGGAGAGCACCAGGGGCAGCATAAAATTTGGTGATACAAGGCTGTAGATACATAAGTTTGAGAAACTAGACTAGCTAGGGTCTGTGAGTTAGCATTGAATAATTAGTATTGAGAGTAATTTACTTCTATCTTACGTGCTCTACCATTCTTCCAACTCTTTATAGCAAACATTTATTTACCAACTTTGCTTTCAGCTTTTACTTGAACAACCTTATAGGGAAGTACAACTATATGGTGCATTAGGATATGGGCAAAATTGTGTCCACCAGATCTGATAAGGGCAAAATGGTATACTCCCCCCCCCCGCCCCTCCAACCTTTCTCCGGTATAGACTACTAGCTACGGCATGATGCATCCATGTATCTCGAAGTGTTATTTTCATTTAATTAATCATTATAGAGGAACATTTGGGGAAAAATTCTGGACCAACATTACGAACAAAATGCACATAAATAGAGCAATTGATATAATAATTAAAGAAAGCGCTATAACTGGTACTCGTGCATGCAGCCGTTCAGTCGATAATACACACTACGATATAGGTTATTGTATAATTCACCAGGCATGATATGCCCAGTACCTATATGTCTATTAGAGCTCTATGCATATTAAAAATTTACTACATGTAGGTGGGCGAATGCTAACTCGCCTCAACTGAGACCAAGAACAGTTGGAAAAGGGTCTAACCATGTCTGGAGAGAGAGTGCACTTTATCAGCTTATATACAAAAAAGGCTCTTCGCGTGGAAATTATCTTTGAATGATCAAGCTGCCTTTGAAAGATTATCTGTTTTACTATTGGGACTAAACTATTCTCTTTGCGTAGATTATTTATATGACTAGAAAGTAATCTTGCACAATAATGTAGTTTTCTCTATGTAAACACCGTGTTGAGTCTCCTATCTCTCAACTCTGAATATTCCGCTCCCTTGACAATATTACTGGGAGAAAGTCATTTAAGGAATCAAAAATAGCAACAGCTGGTGAATTACTCTAATACGAAAGGTATGTTGGAGAAAATGTGGGCGGTAGTCAAGGCAGAATTATTTGAAGGGTAGGTATGTGTTAATAAATCTAACTTACGTCTACCAATACCCAATACAATTATGTTAACATAGTTTTTTTGAGTTCATCTTCGAAAGCCATCATCGAACAGATAGGTAATCGGGCATCTCTTCATTCTATAATTAAATATTTACGCGTCACAAGTGGTTCACCCGCTGTAAGAGACCTACTTACCCTATATATTTGGTCATGAATACTGCAACTTGTCGTCACTAACGGGTGATATATAGGCTGGAGTCTGTTTAAAGATGACCAGAAACGAAGCCTGGTCTTTGGCACTTACGATGGCTGATGATAGTTGCATCAACATAGTAATATACAGTGGCATATGACAACGACATAATACATAGCTGGCTTGCTAAAACAGCTGGGGGGCATCGGGGATACACGCGACATTCATCATATGAACTATACGGAGTATGTCCTCTCGAACATTCGCCTCTCTGATAACTAGACTGTCATAAACAAAGCATGAGAAGCGAGGAACAACTGCACCTGGGACTTTACAGCCACATCTCCGAATCTCGGACAACATCTAACAATTATTATTGTTCGCGTATTCGAAGCGTCAGCGTGTGAGACTGGTGTTATGGAATGAGACACGCATATGATCTCCTTGTCGGGATAAGGTCGATAAGCGACTCCAGACACTCAAACGAGCAGACTCTTGCGCTTTCATGTGCTTTCAGCGCCCCAGGAACTGGCGGGACTGAATGGCGCGTAGGGGGTTGTCGAAACAACTGGGGTGGGCCCTCTCAGGGCGCGTTCAGCTGCCTTACTGACGACAATGGCATTCGAGACAAGAGTTACTTGCCACCAAGTGTATGAATACGGATTGAATTCGGTTCTTGAGCTGTTAGACGCTATCGGCCCCAGCTGGTTACACGCAAAAGCAGGCTTCAGTTGCATGTATGGAGGACAGGTTCTCGTTTCCCGTCATCCGCAGCGTTCATTCCACGCCTTGCCAACGAATATATCTCAACTCCAAGATGGCCCTGAGATCAAGCGACATCCAGTCGAAGCCCTCGGATAGGAAAGGGAGTTTTAAGCATACAGCGGATATGAAGTGCCGTCGATCATCCCGTATAAGTCAACACTGTGTGGCCACAACCGGGCTGCAAGGAGAGAACAGCTGGATGCAGTGTGGCTGCAGTAATGGCCTTCGAGTTCGACACATCGCTCAGTCTCTGATGCATCATCTCAATTCGACTACAGATTGACTCCGGCCTTGGAAAATATTCTTTGCCTTCTCACAAGCCCAATTGACTATCGGATATCAACAAACTATCAAATTCAACAACAGAAAAAGGACGGAGATTGGCCAATAGAGCGGATTGCCCCTGAAACCACCGACTTGAAACTAAATATTTAGCTGATTAACTAACAGACTGCTTTTTTCTTCTTCCTCCGTCTTCTTCGACAAGGGTATGCACTGATGCGTTTGAGATTTTGTCCGTATGATGAACAACTGGCATGGATAGGAGATTAGCCGTCCTTTCTGGCTTTACTCCTTTTGGCGATTTGTTTTGGTCGAGAGATATTAATCTGTTGTCCACTACTATCGTTATACGCCGTGGAATAGTTTGTTTACAGACAGCGCGAGACGGACAAGAAGAGAGACAACAAGACGGAAAATGAGCGAAGCTATTGATATACCGACGGTAGATACTCAGGGCGTCGCCCGTGAGTTATCTCGGTCTCCCTCTCTGTCGCCGACGCCAGCAATATCCTCCTGTCCATCGCCCGTCCGCACCTTTTCGACAGTCTCGTCCATCTCGAACTTCTCAGGCGATGCCAGGTCATCGGTGTTGTCGTCGACATCGGCGGGCTCTCGCAGGAGAGGCTACGTTCGTCCACAAGGCGCCACATTTGCGGATTCAGCGAAAAACCGGGAGAGCGTGATGAGCCTGGGGAGCATCGCCCATCTGCAGTACTACTTTGCTCGAACGGGACTGCTGGATGGGAAAGGGGCCCAGATGGCCAGAGCGAAGAAGAAGCCTACAGACGCCGAAATACCGAAGCTCACGCTCAGCCAGGAAGTGCATCTGGATGGGGATCTGGTCCAGAGCCCCATCGAGGCGTTTGGGGAATTTGGGGGAATCGACGATGATGCTGGCGTGTGGGATGAATATGAACATGAACCGCTCATGCTGCCGCCGACAGTGAGCACATACAGCATAAAAACACATTATATACCGCCGCCACCGGACCTGAATGCCCTGAGACATGATCTACAGACTGCCTTGGAGAAGGCGAGAGATGTCCTGACAGCGAGCAAGGACGAGCTGGCGGCCCAGAAATTGGCAGCAAGCGAACTGGCTACAAAGGAAGACGGCGGCCTCCCTGAGATAGAGGTAGACGAGGACGCGAGTAATAAAGACAAAGAAAACAACAACAGCAGCACCGATAATAATAATAATGGAGATGAGCAGAAGGAGACGCCGTCGAAGAAGCAGCCCCAGGGCTGGGACGAGATACAAGGGATGCACATACTCGATCTGGTCACTCTGGCCATACGAGCAGCGCGAATTTACTATACAGCCCATGAACACCCCGAGCGTCTGGCCCAGATCAAGAGTGAAAAGGAGATCAGGGGCGAGCTTCTCTCAGTGCTCGAGGTGCTAAAGAGATGGGCATCCCGGTCATTTGCCGGCGGACTCAGGGATAAGGAGCGGTCGTCCATCATTGACTGGATCGATGGCATCGGCCGTATGCTCGAGCAAGAGCGCAAGATGGAAGCCGGAGAACGCCACAAGCGCAAGAGCTGGACATGGACGAGCGGTGACTGGTCCGGCCACGAGCGCGAGAGGGAGTATCAGTTCTTGCAGAACCTGACGCCCCCAGCCGTCAGTCCGCTGCCAGCCTGGGAACCTGTTGACGACAGCGAAGACAGCAAGCAGGAGCTCCCTACACCCTTTCTGGCCCGTCTCCGGGACGGCCGGGACCTTGTACGCTTCCATAATGAGGCCGTCAAGCTGTCGTACCGCCCCTTTGGTGCTATCAAGACGTTCCACGATGACGTGAACAAGCCGTACCGGATGGCAGACAATCTCCGGTACTGGGTCAAGGCGGCCGAGATACGCTGGGAGCTGCGCCTGGAGGTCGATGTGATGGCCATCGTAACCGGAGACAAGCCGGAGGCCTGGAAGGGCTTTGATACTGCCATCCTGCAGTGGTGCCGGACAGTCAGGGAGGAAGTCATGAATGATTGGAGCTCCCGCGAAGAGGAGCCTGCAGTCAAATCTCCCTCGACCCTCTCTCCATACGGATGATGGGGCGGGGGGTCCCTTTTTTTCTTCTTTCTTTCCCTCCTTCTCTTCGTCTTCTTATTTGTTTCTTTTCAGTCCGGAATGTATAATTCTGGATGTATATACAATAGTTAATATCAAGGCTAATGTAACGAGACATGAATCCCCATTGGTACCACGTCGTACAGTCCATGTCCCTGTCCATGGATGCCAGGATGCATCTGCAATTGAACTGCCAGCCTTGCACCATCTTCTTTTCCTGCGGCATCATCGTCGTCTCGCCAGTCATCCTTATACATGGCCAATATAAGGGGGCCGGGATGGACGACGCACCCCTTATGTAGCGGTAAATTGGTAGACACGCCAGCACAGCGACGAGCAGGAGTTAAATCACCGTCTGAGAGAGCAAGCATGCCGAGATGGCAGGAGTCCAAGAGCCGCAGCGTAAACAGGGACAAAGGGCGTGTAGAGGCTGCCGTCGTCGCCGTCGTGGGCAAAGTGCAATTTCCAGGGGCTGCTAGCAGATGTTCCAGGAGCGACATCGCCAACTTGCTCGCCAACTTCACCAACACCAGCACCAACGCCAGCACAACAGCGACAACAGCATCAACAGCAACCTCTACGAGCAGAGACATCTTCGCGGTATCGGTACACGGGCTGGGACGACATGGCCTGCCGCTGCTGAGCCGGACAAGCGAGCCGCAGACGAGAGAGACGAGGAAGACGCCAGTATCAGCCACGCCAGCAGCTGGACGGGACGACGTATCAATGCCCCCAGGCGTCTCGGGGCCTGGCAAGAGATCTGGCGCTGCTGCTGCAGACTCAAGGGACACTTCAGCGTCGCCGTCGAGCGCTGCCGACTCGATATTTCTCCCCAAGCGGGCGTCTGCTGCCTTCACTGCTGCCCAACGCATCGCTTCCTGGTCACCGTCGACCCGGGATACGGCTGGAGCAGCGCCGGCCTTTGCTGCTGCTGCTGCTGCTACCACGGCCAGAACGACAGACACTGCTACGATACACACCGAGAGAGACACTGAGAGCAAGGGGAGACAGTCCATCTTTCGACGGCTGTCGCCCAGTCTTGCGGCGCGTGTGAAGCTGCTGGACGGAGCATCAGGCAAGTCAGACACTGCTGCGTCGGCTCGAAGCCAGTCGAAGAGCCCGGTGGGGAAGATACCGGCCTCCCAGCTGCAGGAGCTCGAACGACAGAACATCGACCTCTCCATCCGGGTGCAGAAGAGCGGACGGGCGTGGAGCGGTGGACTGAGTGTGCCGCAGCAGGAGCAGGACTCCTGCCGGACACTTTCGCAGGCCAGCAGCCCAGCTGAAGCAGAAGCAGAAGCAGAAGCAGAAGCCGACGAGCAAGAAGAGGACGAAGAAGAACAAGAACGAGCAGCAGAAGCACCACCAGTACGAGCGGTAGAGTATAGGGTACTGCCTACTGTAGAGGAAACGGACGCGTCTACTGATACAAAGATACCTTTGGGTACCATGGGGACGGCGAGAATGAGCCATGGGGCAACGACAGATGCTGACTCCGACATCCCTCCGCCGCCGCCGCCCAAGGACACACCGCCGCTGGGACACTCGAGCACCGGGTCAAACGCGTCAGAGTCGTACTTTAACCCTCTCGGCCTCAGCCGGACGGACTCCATATACTCCTTTTCCAGGGCCTCCTTCAGCAACCAGCTCTCACAGCTCACATCCATCAGCCTGCCGCAGCCAGCTGCCCTTGAGGAGAGCATAGCGTCGATATCAAGTGCCCCAGCCGCCGTACGAGCCCTCAGCGGTGCCGCAGATCAAATTCAGAAATGGACAAACAAAGCATCGGAGGTGCTAGGGGGACTCGAGGCCGAGGACGATGTTGAATGGGCCGCCGCCGGAGGCAGAGAAGGACTGGACGATGTCGACAAGGCCGTCTCCAAATTCGAATGTCTGATCAACGTCTATGTCAAGGCGATCGAGGAGGTCCAGGTCCGCGAGGACATTGCGGACGTTGGCACCGAATCGCTGAATAACATCGTCACACAGATGGAACAGACCATTCTGAATTGGGGGAAAGTAGGCGCTCTGCTACACGGCGTCAAGGAACAAGTCGAGCTGGCGATGGAATGGGAGGAGCTGTGGAACGCTGTACTTGGAGACGTCGGCCTGGAAATTGATAATCTGTCAAGGATGATCTTTGAAATGGAGGAAAAGAGACACAAGTCTGTTATGGTCATGGAGATGGACAACGAGCCGACTACAGGCCTGGACATCAACGAGCTTGAGACTATTGTCGAAGAGACGCCATCGCATATGCCTGCAAACCCACGTCTGAATTTTGCACCCTTCATGTCTTCTGGCACGCAGACGCCGGGAGCAGACAATCAGCAGGATGAATCAAGTCTACTGGCGCTGTTTGCGCGGATGCAGCCTCTTCGAGCATCACTCGACTTCTTACCCATGAGACTGTCCATGTTCCAGTCGAGAGCTAAAGATATCTTCCCCAGCGCCTGCGAAGAGCTCGAGGACCGGAGACTCCGTCTCGAACAGGGCTACAAGAAGCTGGAAACAGACTCTGAGGCTCTCAGACGCGAATTAGCAGAGGATAGATGGGTGATTGTGTTTAGAAACGCAGGCAAACAGGCACACAAGATGTGCGAGTCTGTCGAAAGGAGTGTCACGAAGCTGCGTGAAGCCATCGAGGGAGGCATACAGCATAACAATCCTACCGCACTCGCTAAACGAGCAGAGAACTTTGAAGCAAAGAAAGTGCATTACGGATCGGCAATTGAACGGGTGCTGTCCATCATCCAGAAGGGTATCAATGACAGGCTGACTGTCAATGGCGAGATTATTCGGCTTCTTGCTGACCTGACGGCGAGGTTCGATGCGCTGCAGACCACTGTACAAGCCATGGATACACTGCTGGACGAGCTTAACAGTCGACAACTACGAGATTCCGTCTCGAGCATCCTCACCCTCGACAGCCCTGCAGCCCGAAGCATCGGTACCCCTGGAAGCTCCCCTGCTTCGTCCATCATCATGTCAAACGGCAACACAAATGGTAGCACAGCTAACATGAACACCCATACCATGATACAGGATACCAGCAGGCGGAGCAGCGTCGCAGGTGGTGGCAGCGCCGTCTCTAGGGGTACTGCAGCAAAGCTCAAACGCCATTCTGCTCTGCCTGGTCCAACTTCTACCGGCATTGGACATACGCCTCGCAAGCCGTCGATTCCGCGAGCAGTCACCACGCCCAGAATAACCACTACCAATCACTCTGGACGTCCACCTTCACGGACAGGATTGGTAGACCCGTTGACTGCACTGACATACTCAAACTATGTCCCTGATGGTAGACCACGGTGGAATGCAACATACAACACCAAAGATCTCGTTGTAGGCCACGTCTACAAACCACAAAACAACCTTCCTGCGTCATCGTCAAACAGAAACCTGCCTGTCCCCGTCTCCTCCCGTTCACCTCGCCCATCTCACAGTCAATCCACTTATTCCTTTGGCCTTCGCAGCCCCCTCAGCCGCGAGCCCTCTGCGTCTCCTGCCTCGGTCAGACCATCAAGCCGACTTCACCGCGGCGTAACAGACCGTGGCTCCCTAGACCCCGGTGCTGGCCATGCTCACGGAGCCGCTCCATCCCCATCTCCCTCGCCCTCACCCAGACCATCAATGTTCGATCCTCCTCCCTACAGCAAATTGCGCAAACAAGCTGCTGCCGCAGCATCAACTGCTTCTTCCACCACCACTACGACTGCAACAACACGACCAGCATCAAGACTAATGCCTCCTACTCCAACACGAAGAGCTAAGACCCCCATACCAAGCGCCCCTGCCCCAGCCCCGATGTCCAAGCTAGCCGCATCTCCTAAACCAGGCCTAGCTACCGCTCCGAGAAGCAGACAGAGTTACGCGGGTGTTCCCAGTTCCCGGGCCAGCTTCATGCCAACCAACGACACTACCGGAGCAAAGAAGACTGCTGGCCCTCCACCCGTGGCTGCTCGCCCAGGGACATCTCTAGGCCACTCCAGCCGTCGAAGCAGCATGCTTCCTCTCCCAAGGACAGGAGCAGTTGGTCGATCCGGACGCGAGAGTGCGGCTGGTGCTAGCAGACCTCCATGGAGGTAAAGCTTCTCCTTCATAGAGCAAGATAAAGTAGGAAACATGCATGGTTGAATTCTGGCGCTGGAGCTGAAACCGGAACTGGAAAATGGTTGCCATTAATTATTCGCATTTCCCCCCTTTTCCCTCTCCCCTCGTTTTTCCAATTTAATTTCTATCTCCTTTTTAATTTCCTTTACCTTTCGATTTGATATCTTATCATCTTCCTTCCCAGAGTGATTTTGGTCTTTAAATTGGCCGTCTCGTTTTCTTTTTCGTCGGCTTGATATGGATCTTTCTTCTTCAGCTTTTATTCTCCCTATCCTGTTCGAGTCAGCCATATCCTGTCTATTTCTCTCTCCTTACCTTCACCCTCACTCTCACTCTAGTACCCCCTTACCCCTACCCACACACTTACCTACCTACCTACCTACCTACCTACCATCTCTCTCCCGACCAGACTGTCTGCTCATCATGTTCGTACTGCTTGATTGACCGGTTGAGCCGTCAAGGAGCTCCAGTCCAACCTCCCCGTGCGGAAGAGCGATCCATCTGATTTCCACACTTCATTCTTTTCTCAAAATGTATTTTGATACTTTCCACACAATACCCATTCGGCACTTTTTTCCACCATCCAATTTGCCTGCCTGCCTGCCTGCTTGCCTGCGTACATTAGATCGTGCTGTATTATATTCATAATAGTAGTGTAATAAGTGTATATTTCTCGCTCCAAAAAAGACGGAAGAACAGTATGTACAAAAGGGGGGAAAGACAACAAATCAGACAAGGAAGGAAAATGCAGCTTGGCCCGTTAAGAAGATCAACGACCTCGGGTCAGCCAGGATAAAAGATAAAAGCCTAAACGCAAGAACCAAAGCCAGAGTACCAAGAACACGAACGAAACGAGAACGGGTGGAGGGTGGAGGGTAGAAATGGTGTAGGTGGGCGTGGGAAAGGGGGAGATCTTTTGTATCTGTTGTTTTTCAGCTTTTTTTTTATCTTGTCAACCAAGTCAACCAACCGACCAACTAACCAACCACCCGCCGGCCGACCAGGGGATTTAACCAGAGTGTATATAGACGGGAAAAAGGAGGAGGAAGTAAGGACACGAAAAAAGCAGGCTGGGGAACTTTGGGGGGAAAAAGGGCAAGTGGTACAGGGGCGTTAAAAGCATGGACATGAACATGAATGAATAGATATGGCAAAGGGAGGGAGGAAGCGAGATGTAGTGGGACCGAGAGGGAGGCTGTTAAACACGTATGAGCAGGCAGATCGAGTAAGCGAGAATAAGCCAGTGAAAGCAGATCAAGCAAACAGTTAATGGAGCTATAAAATGTAAGTGTATATATCAGCAGGCGACTAAAAAGGAGAGCAGGGAGAGAGAAGGAAAGGAAAAAAGGAAACGGAAAGCAAAGTAAAAGTAAACTAACCACCAACCAACTGGTAAGGTATTTGTATATGTAGGTCGTAATGCGTGGCATCCGCGGCAAGATATAGCGTGGCATTAGGGTCGTTAGAATTGAAGAAGACGCAAGAGAAAGAAAACGCCGGGCTGGTAGTAGTCGTTGATAGTAGTATCTGGCCGTCATCGGAAATCTAGCTGGAAAGCTCTCCATTTGCCGCCGACAACACCGCACCTGGGGCATCCGTGGCCGTGTCTAGTGTCATGCTTACCGTTTGCGTGGATGCTGGAGTGGTTGGACATTGTCGTGTTGGTGCTGTTGCTGCGGGCAAGCCTGTTCACGGCTGCGCTGCCACCTCCGGAGCGAGGGCTGCTGGTGGGACCCAGATTGAGGACGGAAATGCCCATTGCACCGACGGTGGAGGACGAGGACGGCGGGGAACCTGCAGCCGAGTGCATGGAGAGGGAGAGAGCAGGCACACAGTCTCTGCAGACACCGCAGATGCACTCAGTGCAGGCGAAGCAGTCGCGGACAGCTCGTGGACGGGAGCAGGAAGCGCAGTAGATGTGGATGTGCAGATCCTTGTCCCTGGAGATGGAGACGTTGGAGGTCGAGCTCGAGGCAGAGGTAGAGGTGAAGGGGGCCGGGTTTGAGAGACGGTGACGTGGATGGAGCGGGTGGAGCGGGTGGTGAGCATGAGGGTGCGGGTGCGGGTAGATGTTGTGCTGCTGCTGCGGGTAGGAGGTGACCGGCCTGGGGGGGGAGAGGTAAGGTTTGGAGGTGACATCCATGCTGGACTCGATGGAGGGGAACGGCTCGAGATCGGTGTCTCGATCACGGTGAAAGGGCGGTGGAGTCTGAGACTGA